CGACAAGTTTAAATAAAAATCGAACTTGATCTATTTTACAGAAAATGAAAATTTTATTTATCAAAATAAGCCCATTTTCTGGTCAGGCATCATAAGTTATATCATTGGTATGAGTTTCATGAAAAAATCTGTTACCATAGTTGAAGAAACAGCGATCGAAGTTTCAAGTTTGACCTCGATTTTATCGAAAACTGTCCATCGTATGAACTATTCAATAGTACCGATGGACTCAGTTTTTCTATCCCTACAAAACCCATCAAGTCTCGACTCTTCACTCAAATTTTCGAGGTTTTGGTAGTACTTTTTGCAATGCATTTGCAAGTCTAACCAGAAAATTGGTTTATTTACCAAGAAATGGGTTTAGATGAGTTTGTTTTGTTAAATAAGTTATTTTTCGTACATTTACAGACTAAAAAGCGTAACTTAAATGCGATAATGGTGATTTATTAGATTGAATTGCATTAATTATTAGTGTAGAATTGAATTGTTGATGGAATCATAATTGTATATGATGCCATTCTCGAGATATAGAGGCCAAAAGTTTTAAGACCAATCGCCAAAATCAAGAGAACTATTAATAAATTGAAAAAAGTATGTAACCCACAATGTGTACCAACAAGTTTTATGGGCCGATAATAAGTCTAAGCTCGCTAACTCTTTTTGTCACAGAATGCGACAGGTTTAACTGAAAATCGAAGTGATCTATTTTACAATAAAAATAAAATAATATTCCTCAAAATAAGGGCATTTTCTGGTTGGTCATCGAAACTTAGCTAAGTATAATGAGTTTCATGAAAAAATCTAGCTCCATATTCGTATAAAAAGCGATCGAAGTTTCAACTTTGACTTCGATTTTATCGAAAAATAGCGATCAGAGAAATTTATAAAACGCATGATTAGACTCAGGTTTTATGTCGCTACAAACCAGCAGCATCTAAAGCTGAAAGAAAACAACCTTTACCCGTTATTGCTCATTTGTACAAATGGCTGTTAGTTTTTTCATAAATGTGACAATTGTGTTAATTGTGTCTTTTAGCAACAACTTTGCATTTGCATGTTTGTATGAAATTAAGAAAACGAGAGACAGAAATTAAATTGAATAATTTTTATTAGCATTGGCTTCAGTATAATACATAGCGATTGTTTTTAGTCGAATTATTCACTTTATGAAAGCCATAATTGATTATTTAGCCTTTTTATCCAACTACATTGATCAACCAAGCTGATTGAAGTCGGAAATTAAGCGATTTATGCATTTCAATGCCACAGAAGTGATGAATGTGAAGTAAATGAACATCTTTGAACATAGTTTGATCTTTGTAACTAAATGTTGTCTTCAATTTTGTTTTTGTTTTGATAGTTTCCTTTTCCGTGATGAACCCACAAATGTATTATCAAACCAAATTGTTAAGCGAATTGTTTCTCGACAAAACGGCAGCTGATGGCACATCTTTTCGTGCAGCAACCACAATGGATCAATTCTGGAAGGTAATCAATGTGAAACTAAACATCAAACAATTGGAAGCTTAATTCAGTCAAAATTGTTTTGTTTCTCCAATGTTAATGTTTAATTATATTTCTTTACTTCTTTTCTGCTTCTTTGTATTTGAAACTATCCACAGTTTTCTGAAGAAGTGTTGATCGATAATCTTTATTGGGATCATTGGTACAATACAAATAAAACTGCTACCGAAACCTCCATTTTGTATGAAAATTATCTCATAACTTCACCTCATCTTCGTCAACTTCGAGTTCGCAATGATTCCTGTGAAGTACACAAAGATTTCCGAAAGGCTATTCACACTTGTTACAATGCTTATGCCGAGTACTTGGAGGAAAGGGATGAGTTGGCCAATTCAACTGGATTTCAGTGGGAAGAGATTCAGTCTTTTGCCAAGAATGCGATTTGGGGTAAAATATCAACCTATTCTGGTGATGGAGGTTACATAGTTGATCTTGGTCTAAATAAAACAGCTGCTAAAGAGATATTGGCTGACCTCAAGAAAAACTTGTGGATCAACAGAGGAACTAGAGTAGTCTTCATTGATTTCACCACCTACAATCCCAACATTAACCTGTTTGTTGTTTCCAAGTTGATTGCTGAATTTCCAGCCACTGGTGGAATGTTGACTTCTTGGCAATTCAGAACTCTAAGCTTACTTCAAACCGGCAACAAGGCGATCATAGCAACAGTTATCTTCTCCATTTTTATCGGATTCATTGTTTACTATACTATTGAGGAATTGGTTGAAATGAAAACTTTGGGTTTCATCAACTACATCAATGAATCTTTTTGGAATTTTCTTGATATTTTAACCATCGTTTTGGGTAGTTTATTGATATTTTATTCATTTTACAAAAAATTTGTCATCAATAAGATTTTCAATCAAGCATCACTCGGTAAGTTCAATGGCTATTCTAATCATCGACCAGTAATCATCTATTTGCTTTTGGCTAATAGAAACAAATTTCATTTCTAAGTAATCATCTATGTTTTGATATTTTCTGGACAGTTTATCATCGCAAAAATTATACGTTACAGAGTGTAACTAAAGATTCAGGGAATATTAAAAATTTTTGTTTATTTCTCTTATAGAGGAACCAACAGGTCTTCAAAACTCATCCTCAGTGGCTTTGAAGATGGAGACTTATCAATTTGATACTCTTGGCTTTTGGTCAATGCAATTTGTTAACATGTTAGCTTTATTGACATTCATTGTTTGGGTAAAAGTGTTCAAGTACATTAGCTTCAACAAGACAATGTCTCAATTAAGTTCAACATTAAGTCGAGTAAGTCACAAAATATGATTCTCAGGTTTATCAACGCTTTTTGTTTGAAAATCAATCTAAATGACCAATTTATTCCCATTGATCTAGTGCTCCAAAGATATCGCTGGATTTGGTGTTATGTTTTTCATCGTTTTCTTTGCCTTTGCTCAACTCGGTTACCTTTTATTTGGAACTCAAGTTAAAGATTACAGTTCATTCGGAACTGCCGTGTAAGTCCAATTGTTTATCTCTTGGAAGCTTGGATTGTTAAACGCTTTTCTCCTTTTACACAGATTCACTTTACTTCGACTAATTTTGGGTGATTTCAACTTTCAAGAATTGGAAGCTGCTAACAGAGTTTTGGGTCCTTTCTTCTTTCTCAGTTACATATTTTTCGTGTTCTTTGTTTTAATGGTAATTTTGATTATTTAGTCTCAATTAGAATCCATTTTTAACTTGTCTTTTCTAATCATTAGAATATGTTCTTGGCTATTATCAATGATACTTATGCTGAAGTTAAAAGCGAACTACATGAAGATGATGAATTCCCAATCATGGAGTATTTCAAAAGCCATTATCAAGGATTGTTGAGCAAATTAGGAGCTCAGAGAGATCAAATTGAGACAATCCAAGCAGCATTGACAGTCGAGAGCAATAAGAAACTGTCTTTTGAACATGTTCGGGCTGAACTGAAGAAGCGAGATCTTTCAGATCCAGAGATTGAAATGTTGTTTGCTAAATATGATCTCGATTCTAACCGTGAATTGGATTCTGAAGAGTTGGCTAAAATGTTGGCTGATTTGGAGGGTAAAAAGCTTGCCTTGGATGCACAAATTGAACATGAACAGCAAAATAGACCGGCTTCGGCAGTTAGTCGACACCAATTTGCTGTTGGAGGTGAAGACATGATTAAATTAACCCGACGTGTTGACCGAATGGAGCATACTTTAATGGCTATTTCGGGTAAAATTGACGCAGCTCTTTCTGGTAAACTAATTATACCCAAAGCTCCACCTGAAGTTGGCGTTACTCAAGCTTCTGATGATGAAAATGAAGGTGAAAAGCGTTGGGCAAATTGAAATATTAAGATCAACGGGAATCATCAAAAGTAACTCCCTCTTAATATTTACAATGATTTGATTATTTTTTTCCCTTGTTATAAATTTAATCACAATTAGTTGTTGGTTGTTTTTGTTGAACTATTGAAATTGATTATAAATTAATTATGCTTTCAGTTTCAAGTCTCTTTCAAAATAGCTAAAGGTAAGGTCACATCTAAATCATTAATGAATAAAAATTATATTTTATCAGGTGTGAACCTCTTGATGATTCTTTGAATCTCGTTTAATTAAAAGCACTTAATAATAAATTAATGCACCTGAAGAAGATAAGAAATTAATTATTTGTTGAAAAAAGGTAACAATAAGAGTTTATATCATTTATTTACACCCAAGACTCCTTGATGCCTAAACTAATCGACTCATTCTGGAAATACTATTATTTGAATAAACCTGGTTTCAGATTAATTGTTATTTTTACAATTAAGAGGCAAAATTTGAAATAATTTAGATGCTTCTTGACTCTGATTGAAAATTGTAGTCGCGTAAATAACAGCAAGTAATTGTTATGAAAAAAGTCTTTTTACTGGGTAGAGGATACTACAGCTGATGACAATTAATCAAATTTGGTGCTGTTTAAAAAGGCTTCAATCATAAACAGCGCAGCTGCTGGTCGGTATTCGGGTACAGTGTGACCTGAGCCTCTAATGGTTGCATAGGCAAATCCGTCGTAGTGCTTAACAAAACCAGCGACTTGGCCATTAACGTACCAGGCTTCGTAAGAACCGATTTGTTGAAAACCAAGTTGATCTGAGAACCATTCATCACCCAAGAAGTCACAAACCATATCAGTGTCACCATTGTAAATGAGACCTCGTTTACCTGCCCTGATTGAGGCGGCGACTTGTGTCTTCAAGCTTGGATTCTGCATGGTATAATTTGACGAAACAACTGTTGAACAATCAACCCAATCAGGTGCAGCCGAAGGGATATTGAGTGCTTGTCGTACATCGGTTCGACCCAAATAACGGATTAAAATGGCATCATCAACACATGGTATGGTTTGAGTAATAGGATCGTCCTCAACTTCCAGTGTTTCACTTTGTTTCAATGTTTTCCTGATCAAAGACCAGCCCAATTTGCGTCGGTTGCTTCTGTGTTTTCTGGTAACCAATGTGTCAACAGCCAATGAACTTGCCGTTGTCCTACAATCTTCATAAATGGAGTATGGGTTAAGATTGATACTGTTGATGAAATTACTGGCAATAGCAACAGCTTTGCTACATTTGTAATCAGTGGTTTGAACAAAGTCACAATTTTCTGGTGATTCATCGCCATTGTTACAACATGATGTGATAATTTTGCGCCACATGGATGAATCGATAAGTCCATGGTGATAGGCAAACCTAATAGCAGAATTACCAAGTAAAACTCGATCCAAATAACCATTACCAATAGCAAAACCTTTATAGTTTATACTTGGTTCCTCGAGAAGACGGACAGATAACGTAGGAATGTAAACACCAGCATAAGATTCACCGGTCAAGTAGAAATCGTGATTCTTGTATTCAGGAAATTTTACAAACCAGGATTTTAAGGCAAGCAAGTTGTTGGCTGAAGTTGAATCATCATCATGTGTATAGTTTCCAGAGTCAGAGTAAGAATAGCCAACACCCGCTGGTGATTCAAGAAAAATCATGTTGGCCACTTTGTTCCATGAGTATTGATTTTCAGTTAATTGGGTGCCATTAACACGGAATGGTCCTTGTTCCGTGAAAAATCCAAGCAGCGAACTACATCCAGGTCCACCATTGAGCCAAAGAAGCAACGGGTCATTGGCTGGATCATTTTGACTCTCAACAAAAATGTAATGCAAATGAGTTCCTGGCTCTCCATCAAGATATCCAGAGAAAGCGTTAAATTTAATTTCACCACTTAATCCTGGTAATTTGGTTACACGATCAGCTTCAAAAGCTTCATCTGAAAGTGCTATGAGGCACGTTAAAATCAGACTAGGAATTAGCATGATTAAAGCACAAATCAAAGCTCGATTGGAATCAATTGAACTGGCTAGTTTTAACACACAAGAAGAGCAATAAGTTTATGATAAATGTCAACAAAGCTATGATTTGTTATCATTTTTTTTCATTATTATAAGCTACTTTCCAACTTATTCCCATTTTCAATTAGATTCCTAATCTTATCTTCACTTAAAGATTAATTATCCAAACCATAAACCATTGAAAATCAAACTTCAACTCTACAACGATTTTCTTCCGCAATTATCGTGCTGCCATCTACGGTAGATTATGAGAAAATTATTGATAAACAATAACAGAAACTAATTTTTTTGATTATTTTATAATTATTTTAAACTGTTTTCAATATTATTTGCTTGTGATTTAAACCGAAAGGTAAGTTGTTAAAACATATTGTGCTTCTTTATGACTGTACTAATGGTAATACTTTCCCCAAAATATAGATTCATAACACTTTCTCTCACTAAACTCGTATTAAGTGCACGTGCTAAATGAAGTGGTCAATGAGCAATAACAAGTTGAACAAATATAAATTGTAAGACAAAATCATCTTCAGCTTTCAGCCTTCAACAAGGATGCCCAAACTGACGCTGCAATATTCAAGAAACTGATTGATGGGTTTAAAAGCTTGTCATCATCAAGAGACTACATTACAGAGATTACATGGGTAGAGAGACATAACAAAGAGGATTATTTTACGCTTATACTCGTGAAGAGAAAAAATCAAATCAAAACATGCAAATTGTCATCAATCTAACATGTAAACTGTTGATTCCTTTCCAAGACAAAATATTTGAAATGTTTTATAATCATTTAGCCCACACAAAATATCCCTCTCTCTGTTCATCTTTTACATGACTGAATCATTGTATTTAAATTGCCAATGGTGTGATGTCTCAAGCAATCACTTGACATCCTTATCTGGGTTGAATTACTCAAGCTCTAATACATGTAAACGTTGAGTAAACCTCAACCAACTCTTTCTCAGCGACAATTTAATTTTACAAATTATACGATTAATGAACATTTGTGACAGTTTTAAATTCTTGTTTAGGTTAAAAGGCATTTACAATGATTGAGAAGCTATCTCAATATCGTTTTCATCAAAGAGTAATACAACTCAGCATTGAGTAATTATTTACTCATTGGGTTTCATTATTTCCATTATCATTTATTTTTTGTTCATTTAGATGGAAATCAATTTGATCAATACTCAATAGATACTTGAAATCAGCTGAGAAATTTTGATTTCTGAGAACTGATTGTGAACAAACTCATTGTTTGGTTACAAAATTATTGTGAAAAACATAGTTTGTTAATATCTCAATCATGTATTATTAAACCATGTGATACAGTTGATTACTGTCATAATATCATAATGTTTAATAGAAAAAGAAGGAAAATTTTTAATCAAAGTTTGCTTATGAGGATGGTCATGGTGAAGTTGCTGATGATGATACTGAATAGTCAGTGGCAATGAAATTGTATAATTTTGTTCACTTTTCCTTGTTGATTGGTTTGAAATCATGAGTTTAATGGGATAAGATTTTGGCCCCTTGATTTGGATGAGATTTCATTTTCATTATTTGCCTCAATTTTATCATCAAATTCATTTATATCCGCACATTTCAGTGTTATCCAAATGGCTTCACGGATTCTTGGATTCGTTAGGAAATAGATCATTGGATTAAAAATGGTCGATGTTTTAGCCATTAATGGTGGAAGTAAGCTGAACCAAGTGGGGACATCAGATGGATCGCCAAACACAACATAAAGACATAATAATGCATATGGAGTCCAGGCTAACAGGAATGCGATGTTAATTACTGTAGTCATCTGTAATTAATTTGGGAAAAGAAATAAAAACAAGACAACAAATCTAATTATCACTCGTCTCATTAATACAAATAATGACCCTGTTTATCAACTGGAGATCACTAATTTATCTTGTAAACATTATTAAATTATTTAAAGCTTAATTTGTCAGCAATTATAAATGAGTTAACTTCAGCTAACTGAATTTAGCTTATTGTTTAACAGTTAAGTTTGGCGCTTCTATTGATAAATTTAAGAGTTTAACTTGATTGGCTCATCAGATTTAACCCTTACTCATCTGGTTTGTTTGTAACCTAACCTAGGCTTAACAGTTAATTTAAGTTTTTTGTTTAACCTGTGAATCTTTCTTGTTTTGTTTAATTATAAATTTTGTTTAATTGTGCGACTTACAAATGTTATATTTTTCTGGTTTGTCCAATAATCACCTAGAGAATTGGTCCAACAAATTTGGGGATCTTTAGATTTTATCCTTCGGCGGACCGATCGGTATGAGAAAAAGATTATCGTGAAAGGCAAAAAGTAACCAAAAATGGCATATATTATGATAAAAGATTTATATGATAAATCATTGTGTCGCCAGTCGATTGTACAGCTGGTTAGTAATGGTTCCAAGGCGTACTGAGCCCAACCAAGCATCGGCATTAAAGCCCAAAACAACGCATAAAACCAGATGGACAATAAAACAGCAGTTAAATTATAAGGCGATGAGTCAATGCGTGGGTTATCTGGTTGAAATTGGTAGATTAAAGTAAAGGAAACAAGAAGGATCAATACCAACAATCAAACAGTATTGGATTACTTAATTTTCCAGTTAATTAACTGAACTAATTTACACTGTTCATCAGTTACCTGACCAACCTTCACAACAATTACAAATGATTTGGATTAGAGATGGCATAGAGACAAAATTGGAATGATTGACTGGAATTCAAGATGAAATATCCCTAAGCTTTCCATTCTAGACATTGGTGCATAATAGTAAAGCAAGATTATGATAATCGTCTAAATAAATCCAGTTAACGAAGATTAATTACGAGATGCGTTATCCATCAAGACAAGATGAGAATAATGACCGCTTGTTGCTTCTGAAAAGCAGTTTCAATGAACTGATACATGGTTATCAATTGTTTAATACGATATTTAAGTATTATTTGAATAGAACTAAGTGATTTTACTTAACACTTGGATGAAATCTATTTTCAATCTTGCTAAGGATAACCAAAAATGCAACTTCATCGTCAAAATTAAAGAAATGGAAAAATGGAAAAATTAATTTCCAAAAGAATGGTTCAACAATTTGAAAGTGATTACAAGATTACTTTTTAAACTGTACCGTAACAAGAATTTTGGTTTCTCAGGTAATCACAAGACTTTAGGAATCAATTTATTGGTTTCTAAATTTATAAGATTAAATTTCGGTTGTTGGTCTTTGCTCTTTATTTACTTTTTTTCATTACATTTTGTCAACATTTAGCTGGCAAAATTAGATTCCAGTTGATTGTAGATCTGATTTTTCTGGTTCCCTTGTAGATATAATTATTATAAAAATAATAACAATCCTTTTAACCGTGAGACTCTTTTTCTGCTCTTTAAATTATAAAATACAAAATTTGATCCCAAGTCAGTTTGTAAGCTTCTTTACAGGTTTAAAGATTAATCGACTGCACAACTGAAATACTGATTGCTGTGGAAATGTCTTAAAAATGTTTGTAATTGAAATCAACTAAAATAACCTAAATAATTTATTAATAGACGATTCATCTTTGTATCACAGAATATATTTCAATTTTCAACAATCTAATCAAATTACAATTGAGGTAAGCGTCAAGATAAACAATTTCCCATGCATCAAAGGTAATACGTCACTAATGTCTAAATTTGAAGACAGTATAACATCAATATAACATGTAACATCAGACAAGAATTGATCACAATAACATTTGGAAAGATTTTCATCGTTATAAATCTTGAATTAAACCAGAACTATTGCATATAAACACTTGGAATCAAGCCTTAATGGACTGTCTAACAAAAGTCTTTTGTAAGTCTAAAACCAAAAGTATTAATATAAATTACTAACGAGTAATGTCAAAACTAAACTCATGCTTTTTTAAAGCTTTGAAACATTAATTTAGTCTCTCCGATAATATGCAGAAATCCATGACAATTGAAAGTGAAGTCTAGTCAATTAATTAGAAGTGAATTACTCTGGAATCCCAAAACATTAAGAATAAAACTGATTTTTTTAAGCTTCATAATCTGTTTGTCCTTTGACCACAATAATTTTTTTGATTATCAATGAAAAAGACACTAGTTTTGAAACAAAAACAGCTATGAACATTGTTAAGTTCAGTTTATTAACATTGAGGGTGAAATTTCCATAAAAATAACATAAAATTTAAGTCACAAATTGATAAAATTAAAAAAATGTTACTCAAACAATTAAAAAAGCAACCAGAATAAAAATGTAAACAAAAGCGCGATTAACCAGCGCCTTCTAGTGTCTAAATTAACCACCAAGTCTGAAAATTATGAATTAAATTGAAATTAAAGTATTTTTTATGATCGATTGTCGATGAAGTGGAAAGAAACAGATGAACATAAGTGAATCGTAGATACAATTGAAGCTGATTGATGACACTTTTGTATAACAATAACAAAATAAAAATGAATCAATGTCAATGGTAACCAGTTTATGAAAATTAACTTGCGAAATTTGATTGTTATGCAAAAAAGTATAGTTAAATGTGCAAGATTGATGACAGTTGATGGTGAATGACAATTGTTTGATCATTAATTTTGCCAATGATTTGGGTGAAGATAGTGAATCTCAATGGTCCTTGACATTTCATTATTATCTTATTATCATCATGGATGGTTATTGTTGCTATAATTATCAAACAATATCATTACAATTGGTTTACCCTAATGAAAATAAGGTAACAACAATAGACTAACAATAATATAGATGAGATTGCGTACCTTATAAAATTAGCAATAACAAAGTTTGTTGTAAAGCAAGATAAATTGAAATTTGTGATTAAGCTGCAACAGTTAAGGTTTCCTCAATTACGTTTTACATGAATAGATGAAGGTGATGAGGATGAGGTTGGGAATGATGAACAAGTTAAACTGATAAACCCATTGAAGAAGGTAAAAGTTAAAAGAGATTATAATGGAAACTAGAAACAGTTGAACTAAAAGGTTTTCAGTTGCATTACCTGTAACATTGTCTATTCAACTTTATATCAAATCTCTTCTCATTAAACATTTCATTAACGACAACCTTGACTCATAACCTTTTTACATACAATTTGACAAAACATTTCAGTTTTCATGTGTTTACCTATCAACAATGTTAAAAGGTAAATCTATGTTATTGACCTTCATTTCACTTTATTTTTCCTCCTTTTTTCATCTTCTTTTTGCTCTTGATTCAATCAATTTCTCGTTCTACCTTTTTTAAGTACTTTACTCAATGATGATCAGGATAAGAGTGATCAGAAAGTGCAAGTAACTGTAAAATTTTACAGAATGGAACCCAATTAAAAGTGAAGTTATCTGGGTAAAAAAATGAATCAAGAATCTGGTTAAGCTTTAACCCAATAGGTATTTGCTACTGGTTTTTTTGTTTTCCCTTTTTCTGGTTGTCTGATTTTTATTTGCAGATTCAGGTCTCATCGAGTATATTTTGAACAATTAAAGAAGATGTTCAAGATTATGTTTCAAATGATATCAAATTTTCATTTAACAATTTTATCCCTTCAACCAAATTAATTGAAAAGAGAGCCAAAAATTTGAGAGGGAAAATTGTTAACTAGAGCAAATTTTGCCTTTACGTAACCAAGGAAGCCATTTTTGTCTTTCATTTTACCAATTTACTTTTTTTTGTTTCAATTTTTAATTTTGCCAATCTTTTGTAATTATTGCTACAATGTAAATTAATTTTGTTAATCAACTTGTCATCCGTCTATGTTTAATTAATTAGTCAACTTACTTAAACTTATCCTGCAAATTTTGTGATAACGGTCAAGAGCAAGAAATGTTAAGGTTCCAATGTGAGCTGATCCAAAGAAGAATCCAAAAAAGGCATACCATTGACATCCTTTTGTTCCGTACAACCATCTGAAGGTAAATTAATTTATTTAATTAGTTTCTTTTTGTCTTATTTCTGTCTTTTTTTTCTTCTTCTTTTGTCTCTTTTACAGTATTATAAGGTGTATACATGTTTTAATAGTTTATGGTTAAGTTAATTACCTTCCGGCAAAATTGGATGACGATGAAAAGGGATTACCAAATGTAACAATGCCCAAATCAGCCAATGCAAGATTTGCTAATAAAATTGCTGTGTCCGATGTTTTTGATCGAAATCGATAAAACATGCATAATAATATTATATTGGAAATACTGCTGATTATTCCTGAAGAGTACATCAAATGATAATAGTCATCACAATGGTAATTGTTTGGGTTAGTGATAAAACGAAACAAAATGTGTTAATAGAGTTAATAATTAATGATTGGATTAAAAGCTTATTTCCAGACATTATTGGATTAATCAACAAGTGGTCAGTTTGAAACTCTTTAAACAACATTTAACCAATTTACCAGTGCATAAAGATATGAATACAAAGCAGATTTGATAGCATTTCGTCAGCTGATTCCAAGAAATGAAACACAATTTTTTGGATAAACTGTTATGTCTCAGTGATCTTTTAAATCAATGCATCAATAATAATTTATACTCAAATGCAAATTAAATTAGCCAATTTTGCACAAAAAACTGTCTGCTTGATTTTAATTTAATCATTAGGAGCAGGTCAAAATCAAACTTGACTTATATTTGAATTTGAATATAGCAATGAATAATAATTTAGTTGCAATTTAGATCTTAATGTAACTCTTTTTTTCATCTAAAGTTTAATAAGAAGTTCAAGACAAATATCAGCTAATTTGCATGCTCATTGACACTGATTGAAGGTAAGGATAAATATTCAACCTTTTGCTAATTTGCATCAAGTTTATCGATAAATATAACCAATTTAATGATCCCAAGCTAATTGGCCTTACATCTTTCTTATATCTTTGTAGGACTAATTCAATCTGAAAATATCTATGGACAAGAAGCTCACGCAACCAATTTTGATAAGTCATAATCAACTCCAAGGAAATGCATCAATATTCAAAGACTTGTAATGAAAGCAAACCAAAAACAATTTTTTGTGTTTACTCATTAATTATTAATCAATGGCAACTCCTAATTTGCTACAAAAAAGAAACATTTAATTGTACAAGTTATCAATGGATATTTGACTAAAGAACGCATTACCAAATGAACCGATTATTGGGTAAAAATGTTATTCAAGTAACAAAAACTGGCGATGGATAGACAACCAGAAAACGAATCAATCTTAATTGCAATTGACTTACCTACGCTTGAAAGATAAATTCCAAGAAATGTTGTTAAATCAGGATTGGAACTGTTCATATTGGTGATTACTTTTAATCCAAAATGCTATTTGATTTGCAGTAAATGTTTAATTGTTGATGATTTTTCTTCTGGTTACAAGTTAAAGAAAGCGATGATTGTATAACCAACTAATCCAATTGTTTATTGCTACCTGAGATGGTGTTGATCAAATTATTATGGTCAAAGTATCAAGTATACACATTGAGATGGTATTTAGATGTTAATTATTTTGGTCCATTTGGTGGCACACACATTTAAACGTAATTCAAGTTTTTTGGTTGATGTAAAATCATTTAAAGTGAGTTGAAAGATGAAGACATGAATGATGTTGATTAAGCCGATGATTGCAATGATTGTGATGATCAAGATGATTATAATAAGTCTGATGATGAAGATAAACAAGATGATGATAGAAGTGTTCATTTTGTTTAGGAAACATTACTAGGGATTCAACCATTGAAGATGAAGATGATGATGGCAAGGGAAGCAAACAAGGTAAAATTGTGAACAACATTTCACTAATATTATTGTTCACCAATACAAAGGTAATGATGATGATGATTATTAATATGAACTTTTATCTTCTCGTCTTCCTTTCTCTCTTCCATAGTCTCTTCCTTAATCATAATCAAATGTATTATAGTTTAGTTAATCTTTTCCTGTGAAATGCAAAACAAAGTAAAAAAAAAGGCTAAACTTATGTTTCATTCAAGTGATGCCAGTGAAAAGGTTTACAGAACTAAACAATCTTACATCAAAATGATTCTCTTTGCTATTTTCATCATAATCTTCAGTCTCTCTATTCAACTCCCTGCTTTGGTCTCCTTTTAGACTTCATCTTCCAGCTACTTCTATCTCTTCATTTTGTCTTCCTCTTTTTTACCTTTGCTTTTCGTCTTGTTCACTTTCCTTCAGCCATTTGCTACTCTCGTCTTCAGCAATAAAAGTAAATCGAAGCCATCAAAATGTTGATCTGATGCTTATTCAAGCGCTCTTTCCAGCTTTATCACCTTTAATCATTTACCAGAGATGAGTTAAGAAATGAAATCTTTTGTTTCTCCAACAGAAATATTCAATTGTTGTTAGACAAGCATTAAGATTAGTCAAACATTCACATTTCCTTGCAACATTTTGACATTTGTATGGAACGAGATGTTTACCTTCAACAACAGTCAACGACTCAACCGCAATCTATTTGTTTTCAACAATAAAATGTTAAACACACTGCATTTGACGAGAAACTGGATTTATTAATAAATGGTGCGATTGAAAATGATATCAACATTTAGCTTACAATGAATGTTCATCATTCTCGTATAATATTAGATACAGAAAATTAATTAATTGATGAATTACTAAATATAGATGAAAACATAATCAGTCTCTTGTGGTACAAGTATTAATATAATATGTAACAAAAATAAAGTGAAAAGCAAATAGTACGAGACGAAACAAAAAACTTTCTAAGAACACGCTCAGAGTGAATCTACTGATGAATCCCAGGATATTTAATCCACAGTAAGTACCGTTATCAGTGTCATGCAAATTATTTAAACCAATTCAACAAAATATGACAGGTCCGATAAGGTTCCCATGATTCAATAATACTTTAATGGGGTTTTAGAGCGGCTACTTCGGATTCACATTTCATTTCACTTTAGTTTCATGTTCTCGTCCAATCGCGTTCTCCTGGTGCGTTCATCAAATGGACCAATATTATCGGTAGGATGGCAATGAAGGTGATTACCCAGAATATCACTTGAAGCTGTTACATCCAAGAGTATCTGTAAATAAATAAAGATACAAATTTGGATTAGTGATCGTTAATTGTAATGACTTAATGCGATTTCAAGTTAGGAAATGACTTTCATAACTCTGAATGCAACCATGTTTTAGTCAGTAGTTCATCACCTCTATAACAGGACTGAAGGGTAACTTCTTAATCTTACACAATGTAAATAATTATACAATCTTGATCATCTGTAATAAACTCCAACAAAACATAATATTACAACATAATAAACAAATGTATGTGGTATACAAAGCAAAGCAATGTTATCGGTGTTGAATAGTTCATCAGCTTTCTGGTATTCATCAGTTATATACAACTGATCTGGATTTACAAATGCTAGACTTGGCTTCGAAATTATTGAAACTGTCCAAATTATAAGTTAAAAAAATTGAGTTTTGAATGGACAGTTTGGGTTAACTGACGCTGATATTTGCACCGACAAAGAGTAGCAAGCTGTGCTATAATATCAATCTACATTTAATTGAATGATCATACAGTTATTAGTTAATTATGTGTTGACAATTGATTATTCAACTTTAACAATTATTTTATCTGACCATCGATCAATAATGATACATGTAGCAAAAAAGCTCGTGAAGATTCAGATAGATTGTGCAAATGATAACTTCATGGATTGAAGTTGTGACTCAAAGAGTTTTCATTTTACTGGTTGACTTTTTGTTTTTTTTCAACTGATAATTGATTTATTTAATTCTAATAATCATTTGCCAACAATAAATTACTTATTCTTAATTTTGCCTGAATTATTGTCCACATTATTTTCATTCCTATTATTCTATGAGAATTCTTGGCAATACATATACACAGTTAGTATAACAGTAATAAAATTGGCAAGTCCGTGATGAATTTATCAATGTAAATCCGACGTTTATCATCATATGTTACATTGGTCACTTCAATCAGATGTATCACAAAGCATTTTAAATGTGTTAATCTATTACAGAATACTTACACAAAGAAAATAAATAAATTGTAATGAAATATCATCCTTGTGAACAATTTGGTTGAACCAGAAAAATCCAAAAATCTGTTAACACAATGTCAAGCAATCCATATTTTGTGTTATTACAATGAATATTACATTGATCTCTAACTCGGTGATTGGCTCTTGCAATAGACTTAATTACAAACAGTCCTTTAAAGCCATTGATTTAATAAAGCAATTATCTTAAAACACAATTGAAACACAGTGAACAATTTAAAAAAGAAACTTGGTGAGGATAGCTCCAGATGCAATTTCTCAAGCAAAAGCTCTTAAAATAGACAAAACGTGTTCTTTAATCATCCGTTTGAGTTAATTAATCATTTTGTGTTCAAAGCAATTGAACAATCTATAAATATTAGGTAATGCCAGGCTTAATAATAATAATGATTGATCACAATGGTCATTGAAATTTACAATCAACTCATTCTTTTTTTATAACCAGCAACGACTTTGATATCTTTCCGAGAATCATTGAAACAGTTACTCAGTTTACCTGACATTCATCAATCAATAGATCAAAATATTTCTTTTCCGACTCGAATTTTATTAACTTGTAAATATAATTAAGATTAAGCCGAGCCATTTCAGTATAATTTTTAGAAACCTTATTTTGAATGAACACTTTTTCACCATGTTACATGACAACGTCTTTTTTTGAGACGTTTGACTTTATTAGATTTATTTTTAAGTGTAATGCAAGGCAAAATTTATATCGATTATGTTGTGTCAGTAAAAATGTCAATAGTGATTAAGTTATTCAATAATTTGTGTTAAAAGAAAGAGAATGAAGAAAAGCTCTAATGAACGGGTTAATTGGTATCCATTGATTATCGGTTGACAGATTTTTAACTATCTTATAATGAGACCAAAGATAATCAACTTTTCCTGAATTGTTTAAAGGTATGAAAGTGCTTTTCAATTTCAATTCAATTCAACCCTAACAAGTGTTCAGACCAACTCATCTTTTCTCACCTTATTCAGATTAACCGTTACTGGTTGCGACAATGTTTGGTAATAATCTATACTCGAAATACATCCGTCTCTGGTTTAACCCGAAACCAATCCTATTGTCAAACCTTATTCTGGTAAGCAAACCTTAATCTTATAAGCAATTGCTTGTATTCATTTGGTCATGAGATAATGGATAGACCCTGGAAATATGTACAAAGAACCCAAAAATTGTATAATCTTAAAGAAAGGAGATTCTGGTGACATTCATGTGAACAGTTTAGTAAAGATGATACCAGAATAGCAAGTCTAATGATTTGTACAGCAAACCATTTCCACTGGTTTACTCTGGATATCAATTTTATTATATTTTCCTGATGAAAAGGGTTATCTCTTATGTTTTTATACCCTACGGAGCAACAAATGGCCATGAAATGGACTAGGAAAAAGTGGATAACCCTAAAATTAATAAACTGGACGATCATTAAACAGAGTGTATTGACTGAGGAAACTGTAGACGTATTAAAAAACAAGACTTGTTAGTTTACCTCTCTCCTTGTTTGTCCTCTAAATGGTCAAGTTCACTTTTGTTACATCAAGAAAAGCTAACCATAATTATTACCAGAATTACATGATAAAGATTCTTGTATCAACATTTATTTGATACTATTTCAAGAGTTAAATCCAGTCCTTACACTATTAGGTAAGTGAGTTGTACCAACAAAAAAATATACTAATTATGGTTTTTCAACATTCTCATATTGATATACATCTTATCATGATATTGAATATGTTACTTCAATGTTTTCAATTACTCTTCAAATCACTTGAGATATTTACAAATTATTGTGGTCCATCGATGAGGTAAAGGTAAACACAAGCAATCTTAAATAATAGTGTTTGGACAAGCTCTGTTTATACACCATCTGATTCCTATTTGTAATTGCTGGATTATACTGTTTGATTATTATTATTGCTGGACAAATATCTTTTTATTTACCTCTACGATTAACGTTGGCTTAAAGGTTAACCAAAAAGGTGAATATCAATTTTGAATTGTATAATGAGAGTTTAGGAGGAAAAAAAGTCAAGAGAAAGTGAAGCAACAGTTTGGTCAACTTGCTTAAGGCTAAAATATAAGAGGTCAACATACAAGTCAGCTTTTGATTTAAACTTTTGCATCTTGATTCATCACTTGGCTCAGGTTTTTTGGTTAATTCATTAAGCAAAAATGAAATGAAAAAAGGCAACATTAACATGAAAAGTGACTTGAGCAGATTTTCAACTTTTACCTGAACCTTCAACTGAGTTGAAACTTTTTTGTATTCTCATCCTCATTCACGAGTTGCTCTATTTAATAAGCTAAGGAAAAATAAATGCCTGAACCAAATAGAAATGTTCAAATTTCGTTTAAAATGTATCTATTTTATTTACTTTGACGTCTGGTCAACTCTCAGCTAGATTTTAAGCAATAGAAATAGGTAGACAATTGTCAGAAAATATGGTTTGATCACAATTCTTAAAGGTTAACCAAATTGCTTATTCAACAATGAATAAATAAATTAATAGCAATTTGAGTTTTCTTGATAACATTGATAATATGAGATTGACACCCGAAACTTGATAATGGTGAAAATTAGAAGCGAAAAAAAGACAGGGTTAAATATTGTTCATCATTATTTTTACGATTGAAACAAATTGAGCATCGATATGGCGAACAATGAAATTGAATTGAGACAAAATTTGAATGGTAAAAATAATGGATGAATTGTATAATTGTATTGGAAATTGAAATTAATCAGTTTTGTTGTTGTTTCCAACAGCCTTTTTAGATGTCGATGAAACTGATGGTGATGATGTTGATGAAGCAGAAGAAGATCCGTAAGCTTTTTGATAAAATGATGCAAATAAGAAGAAGAAAAGTACAGCATGTAATGCCTCCAAATAGGCTAAAACTAATGGCCAATGACAATTAGGATTAACTATTGCATTAAATGCATGGAAAAAGGTTAATACAAATTGTACCATTTGAAGTTGAGTAATGTGTTTCTTCCACCAAAGATACTTTTTCATCTCTGGACCAGCACAAGCTAATGCATAATAAGCATACATAATTGCATGGATAAGGATATTAATTGTTGGTAAAAATCCTGAATAACCACCAGGATGGAATTTCAATCCAACAAATCCAACAATAGGCATAACACCATGGTGGAAAACGTGTAAAAATGATGCTTGATGGAAACGTTTTCTCAATACAAAGAAAATTGTATCACCAAAATCAACTATTTTGGTTAAAAAGTAAATATAACCAAGATAAACGGTTAAATTGTCCTTAAGGTTTGATGTATTTGGATCAACTGGACCACAATTCCAGGTTTCCTTGAACATATCGGTAACCCATAGAGCAACAAAGAAACCAACTCCATTGACACCAATTAGGAAACTATTATGGAGAAGCATTACTGAACGAAGATCAAATGGTTCACGTCCTTTCATCAATGCTGGACCCAATATACGGACAAAATACCAATACAAGAAGCTTATCAATAATACCTTCCATGGTCCACCATACATTAAGGGTAAACTTGAAACTCGAGGATCACCTTTCTCTTCCCAAAAATCATGAAAATAATAAAATGTTGTGTCCATAAAAGATTTACTAGCATTAATTGTTGTCGCTGCGGTTGCCGTTGCACAAATCAACATATTGATTGGTTTATATTAAGCTTTTCCTCTTTTTGTCAGTTATTGAGATTCACTTTCGCTTTTTGACCTTTTCCTTTGCTTGATTTATTGATCCTGGTTGCTGTCTTTTGTTGTTGTTTTTTATATCAGCAATTGTTATAGAGAGATTCACTTGATACCCAAAAAATTGAATCTAAATCACATTAAATAACAATTAAAAACAAGATTAGATAAATAAATAGTAAAATAATTTGATGTTATTTGCGTTATGTTAGATAATTCATATAATGATCAATATTGTTGACAGTTCACTTGTGAAGGTATAAAGTGGTAAACAAGGCAGAATAAGAATGGAATCGTTGAATGGTTAAAGAACAAGCGAAATCGAAAGCAAAATAACTATTAGCTTGACACTCAGTGACACGTTTAACAATAATGATCAATAAAATTGAATCAAGTAACCGAAGGGGGTTCTCTTCATCAGCTTGATTCTTACAATCATCAACATGATTTGGTGAAAAATGTTTCTTACTAACCAAAAAGGTGAGTTGATAAGTAAGCCCATTTCCATAAACGATAGCGTATTAATTTTGCGAACTTAAGACCTCCTCTTGAAGGCAACATTTTCCCCGTTTTTGCACCATCAGCCAAACAATTCTTGATTCCTCCTTTTCTGATTTAATTAAAATAAGTGAGATGATAAACAAGATGAAGATTCAGTGAAAAAAGGAGGAGACAAACAACGAATTAAATAGAGACCTGAAAATCAGGTTTGTCCTCTCAAAAGCAAATGTGTTTCAATCTTTCACCATTACCTTTCATAATCATCATTGTAATCATTTTCATTCAAAGGGATAACTCTTTGGGTATTTATAATCACTAATCCTATTCCATTCCATCTTAATTCATATCTTTTCTGTCACATCTATCAATCTCTGTCAACTACTTTTGATCCTTGTCTTCCACTTTCCTCAAAGTCTCAAAATTTTTGCTACTAATTCAAAATCATTTGTTTTTTTTCCTCAATCAAATTTGATTGAACAAAAAAAATGGTCAACTTAATAGTTGTAACTACCATCTTGTTACAATGATGATTATAATAGTAATAAAGCTCAACTGTTAACCATGTGAAATACAGATTGACTTCCCTGGTTGTCAGATACATTTAATTGTATATTGTTTTAATACCATTTTTACGTCCACTTTCACTTTCAACAATCAAGCATAATTTTACGTCGACATTGAAATTAAACCATTTGTATAAACTTGTTTTCATCTTTGCCGTCTTTTGCTCTTATGGACATCAACTTCATCGTTGACCTTCGTCATCTGATTAACAATACATGCTGACGTAGATTGACTCAAGCAAATTACAGTAATTATTACGGTAATAGATTTGGTTTTCATTAAAAAACTGGGTTCCATCATTGGAGTCAACGTTGATGTTAAAATTCATAGCCAATAAGTTGATTTTTGGGCTAAATTGTTGAGAAATAAAGCAAAGAAAAAACGAGAAAACGAATTAAAAAATAAATCAGAATGAACAACACTCATGGAAAAATGCTGTTGTTTACCTTTAAGATTGAATGTTGCGATATTTTCAGGGGTAATTTTTTCAGTAATTTTCCAGTTTCTTATCATGAGGCCTGAAATGAATAAAAGAAATTAAATTTAGAAACAGAGAAATGAAATTAAACACAGAAATATAAATAACAAGGTAAAAGCAAATGTTACATAGGAAATGTTCACGGTTTGAGGTTTTGACTCTAGCTGTTATTGCAAACAATCACAATATGAGACTTGATTATCCAGAAGGCTAATTATTAGTTAAATTTTCTTTATCATGACCATCATTTACTCTTCACACACTGACTGCTGACGACTGCATTCAGATGTCAAGGTTGCTTTTCATTGTCTTCCATGACAAAACTGTCCATTTTTTTCACGTCAGACACCATTTAATATTCATGGCAATCAAGATGATAAATGCCGAAAAGTGAAGGTTTAAATGTGAGAAATTGATTATCATTGAGAATTAACCTCAACTTTCACGCTTTTCTTTCAACCATTTCAAAAGTCTGTTGCACTTTCACTCAACACACAACTCTAATTGTTTTCATATCAACACCAATCAACTAATTGTATCCAACTAAATCTATGTAATTGTTAAAATCAGGTTACAACCAAGTCCTCCATTGACAAGCAACTCACCTCTTGTTACATAGACTTCAATCTAGTTTCATAGTTGTAGCTAATTGAACTTTAAATTGTTTATTAATTTGATTCAATTTAACTTTCTCTTTTGTCCACCTTCACCATCATCACCATCATCACCATCATCACTATCATCACTATTATCATCTTCTTCACCTTATTTTTTTTGTTCTTTCCTTATAATTCCACCAACACAACATAATACAAACACAAATCTTACACGCATTTTTTTCCTCCTAAACAATAAGTAATTTACTGAATTAACATGTAACAACATTAATTTCAACTAAAGGATAAAAATTGACGGAAATATTTGACCTTAACTTGATTTTGAGTTTCCCTTTAACCGGTCGCTCGAAAAAATGGTTGGCCTACAAAAAGAAAGAGAGAGAAAAAAGAAAGGTAAATTTACTTCGGAACATTCCCCAGTCAAACTTGATTGCAATAAACAACAACAGCACTAACAACAGTTAATAAACAATCATTTTCCCTCTCACTCAGTGTTCAATATCAAGTGTGGCAAAGTTTAAAGATGAAACAGTAATGAGTGACCTCAATCTATATTGATTTCACCATGAAAACTTGACCCTAAGGTGCAATATAAACATTCACATTTAGTGTTATCCATAAGAAACTGTCCATCATAAGGATACTTAGCTAGCAATTAGTGGTTTTCATATGTCTAATGATGTATGAAAACAAAAGTACTTTATAATAGGTTTTCAATACAATTTGAGGTGAAAAGTATAGCAGTAATAATCAGAATCAGTGATTCAATTGATTCAGTAGAGAGGTTAAATTAGTAGCTCTTTGGCTGTAAAATTTAAATTACAATTATTGTATTATTGTATTGAAAGTGAAAGAGGTTAATAAGAAAGTATCAATAATTTCATTATCAATTGATTACAATCGGAAAATTTGATGGAATAATTAGTGAAACAAGTTTAAGATTGAAATAAGCAAATCCTAATTGTTAATGTAAAATAAGAAACGGTAATTCTTTTTCCCTTTCCTCTTGGAATTTAACTTTTCATCAATTAGATTATCGATTAATCAAATATTCAATTACGATTCAGTAGCGATCAAATGACGGTCAAATGTTTCATCTTGATATGGCAAAAGTACAGTGAGAAGGTTGATCAACACAGTTGGAGTACCAGTAAATTGATTAGTGTAAAGTTCAAATTAAATGCTAACCTCAGGATAAGCCAAATATTAATAACCATGATGAAATGACGATGACTTGGTCAGTATTGAAATCGGTGTTAACATGATACTGTTTATCTGGTAATGGTCCAAGTCGAGAGAGCTTGAATCAAGCCATTTTTAAGGTAATTCAATGTGATTTGCATTCCGGAGTTTCACCAAATATTAACCTTCATTCCGATGATTTGTGCGATTCGATGTTTTGATCTCTCGTCTTGTCAGCCTAGGGAAGACAGAAAGGAAAAAGTAACAAAAAATAATTATTCAGATCTTCTTATCAAGGCCAGAATTAGCAGGAAGGTGAGTAATAAAGTCGAGTCTAATCAAATGGTCAATGGCAGAAAGATTGAATATTTTCCTTCAAGTGATTTTATCGGTCAACAATTTGAGTATCCACTTAGCTGAATCGAAAGCCAAACACATGAAACAAATGTCTTTCTCTGTCTCCAATCATGTCACCATATCAGCCATAAAATCATAACTTCAATCTTAATTCAGTCGACTCTTGTTTCTTTTGATTAACAATTGTTTTCGGATACAATCAATATTCCCAGATCATTACCTAATGAACGTCCTTCTCAGTTGACGGTGATTTTGTGATATAATTTAACCATTTCATTTGACCAGGTTGTAGATTGTAAGTGATTCCTAAACCTTGATAGTAACCTTGATTGAGTCTTGTTCATTCTAAAATTAAAAGAGAAGAAAATGAGAAATATTAATTCTGGCTTCATTGGTTACATGCAATCATTTAATAAAACAAATTTCAAGGTAATGAATAACAATTTAATTTGCTGATTATATCATTGATGTTGGATAAGTTTGAACTTGTGTTTTTCAGTAAAAACAGGATAAAGTTGATTCCAGTTTAATTGGGAAAATTAGACAAAAGAAAATTACCTTTTCTTACTTGTTGCATGTTTGGTAGATCACACAATTCAATTGGTGCTGTCTGACTTGGTCAATGTGTGATAATATTTAAGATGAAATAAAATAATTTAGGATATGTTTCGCCGGTTCGATTGAGCTAGATGTGAGAAAGGAACAGAAAAAAAGGAATAAATGAGAAATTAGCAAAAATCGAAAGTACAGCATGACAAGAAATAAGGTAACATTAGAGGTTAAATCGGAATCTGATCAAGAAAGATTAAATCTTTTCATTAATAATTAATTATACAGTTGAACAAGTGAAGGTCATGGCTCATATTTTTGTATTTATATTTGCTATTTATCCTTTTACCTTTGATTGCGGACGATTTGAATGATTATACTGGTTGAAAATAGAGAGTATGAAAGGTTATCCTGAATGATGTTATCATGAAGGTTAATGTTGATTCCATCAGCTTGAGAAACGTTTGGTAATGATAGATTTTGAATACTTTCAGTAATTACCACCGATCTTCTGGTCATCTCAATCAGAGTTAACTTGATAACCAGTCTTTGAATGTCCAACAGTCAACCATAAATACACTGTAAAACACAATGAAAATAGGAGAAAAATTTAGTGGATTGAATCAGGTTAAGTTCAGGTTAATCATTAGTTTTCGAGTTATTGACTGCAAACATTAGCGAACATAGCAATTGATTATCAAAATATTACCTTTTATAATTCACTCGTAGACCAATTTATTTTTTAATAAACTATTAAAACAATAAACAACCTCAACATGAATTAATACTCATTCAACTGCAACTGCAGGTCAATGCTTAAATCAGACCAAATCCAAGATTTGATTGTTTTCCGAGTAACTGTGAAAATTTTCCATTCCATCCTGAAGGTTGAATAATATCTAGTATGCCAGGGTCAAATACACATGGGATCGAAGAAAAAATAATAAAAAGAAGATCGGATTAGTTAAAGTTGATTGAGAATAATATCGCATAAAGAGCATTTATTTACCGTTTAGTTGAGTGAGTTGAGGTGCCTTTCAGGATTGGTATCAGATGAGATGTCTATTGATGGCATCAATGGCTTCGAGTTCAACATACATTAAGCTGATTATTCAAAATCAAATAGAGCACAATTTAATGATACTGGTCACGCATATAATTAAACCGGTTAATTATACATTTAAAAGATGCTTTCGTCAAAACCAAGGAATCACTGTCCTAGGGAAATACCCGATCCATGAACAGATCAACCTTGGGATCTAGTATTATGAGTACTACTTGGTGTGAAAACCAAAATAATTCAACTGATCATTAAAGAAGATTGTTGTTGTTTATCACATAATGAAATTATGAAATTCAAAAACCCGAACACTAATAGAAAAAATCAATTGGTAAACAAAAATAAATAGTCAACGAGAAAAAACGAGCAAACTACTTTATTGTAAAATCATTTCTGGAACATAGACTTGAGTATTTCAATTTTTCGACTAGAAAAGATATGAAATTAACTCTTAAATCGGAAAAATTTATAATTCAAATTTAATTTTGGGTTAATTTCAGTAATTTTGAAACAAACATTCACTAACAATTGTAAAAATCAAAAGCAATAAATGCGGACAAAATAACATCTTGTATTTCGCGCTTTGCCTTTCTCAGCTGATTCATCGAATTTTTAGCCAGACAATCTTTTTTAAGGATTCCTTTGCTATTTTAAGTCTTGCCTTTTGATATTGAATTTCAGTTTAATTTGATAGTGGTTTTCGCTAATTGGATTTTTATAATAGCTTTTAAATTACGAATGTCATCATTAATTCAATGTAATCTATTTTTATCTGTTTAATGCTCAACCTTTGAATGAAAGAGTGTACCGTTTTAGCTTGTGAATACTTATCTAATCATTTATTGTCAATGTATCATGATTACAGTTTCAAAGTACATCATTCAATGAACTATTTTAAGTGGACAATCCTTTTGCTGGAAAGTCAATAATTATTATTGAAAAACGATCAACGAATCCAAAGCAATTATAATGGTTAATAATTACAATTTAATCATTTAATAGACATGAAAAGACAGTTCAACTAATCAATTATCCAGACTATTGAAATATGCTTTTGATTTAAGTATAGCAAATTTGGCATACTTAATCGAAGTTAATCTGATCGAATCCAATTTACCGACAGTTTAAAGAGATCCAATTGGATTAAATTGAAACAACTGACACCTGTGATAATATCCATATGACAAGAGGTTTTCAAGTAAACGCTTTGACTTGACAGCATTTCAATATTGCCTGATAGTTAATCACCATTATTTTTATTACAATGTAATGATAATAATTTACGATTGTCAGGAAAACCCTGTCCAAGATTTAAGTCAATAATAACCTGATGCCATAATTCACAAGGAAATTTACTGAATAATAGGTGCTAGTGATTACCAAATCATTCCAAGTCTATTTGATTTATACAAAGAATGTCTTGTTTAATTCAAGTTCATTTTTGATTCAAAATAGTGATGAAAAAAGGAAAATAAGTGCTGTAAATGAAAAAAGACTATCATTCAAGACCAGTCATTCAAGTTGTCTTATTGTGTTGAAGATTTCATGATGACAACAATATTAATACACCAGTGAATGATAATGAAACTGTCGAGGAAGATAATTTAACATTTAATATATTTAATATTAATGAAACGGATGAAATAACTTGATTAGTTCATTCTTGAAGTCTTCAAACTTGCTAAAGACGATGGTTGTCAATAGTCAAGCATGTGATTTCAATTTTATTTTTGTTTTAATTTTACCGTTTTGATTTATTCAAACTATAAAATTCATACTTTTCATTATAATATTGTGAAGGAGGATCAATAACAGAAAAATGGGAGTTTAAGGTGAGAGTAAGAAATTAATTATCTAAAGGAAACTGAATAATCAGACTGGAGGAGAGTGAAGTTATCTAAGTCAGTTTCAAATAAGCCTTTATCCAGATCATGTCGATGTTTCAAGTTTAATCGATCAACATTCAACTCTTCAAGTGTTGGCTTTCAATAATAATCAAATAATTTGCAAGAGTGTATCAATTTTTCACTTTAAACATCACGATAACCAGGTAAGTGATTTTTATTAGCTTTCAACTTTTTGATATTTATGTTACTGTTTATCAATTATTAATATTTTACTTCTTTATTATTTCATGTTTACTTGGATTGGTTCAATTGTGATTAGATAACTTAAAGTGTACATCAAGTAAAATATCAACAATGGCAACAGCCGGGACAACAATTAATGCTAGTAAATCATTTATGGACACAACATTTTATTATTTTCATGATTTTTGGGAAGAGAAAGGTGATCCTCGAGTTTCAAGTTTACCCTTAATGTATGGTGGACCATGGAAGGTAATATTGATAAGCTTCTTGTATTGGTATTTTGTCCGTATATTGGGTCCAGCATTGATGAAAGGACGTGAACCATTTGATCTTCGTTCAGTAATGCTTCTCCATAATAGTTTCCTAATTGGTGTCAATGGAGTTGGTTTCTTTGTTGCTCTATGGGTTACCGATATGTTCAAGGAAACCTGGAATTGTGGTCCAGTTGATCCAAATACATCAAACCTTAAGGACAATTTAACCGTTTATCTTGGTTATATTTACTTTTTAACCAAAATAGTTGATTTTGGTGATACAATTTTCTTTGTATTGAGAAAACGTTTCCATCAAGCATCATTTTTACACGTTTTCCACCATGGTGTTATGCCTATTGTTGGATTTGTTGGATTGAAATTCCATCCCGGTGGTTATTCAGGATTTTTACCAACAATTAATATCCTTATCCATGCAATTATGTATGCTTATTATGCATTAGCTTGTGCTGGTCCAGAGATGAAAAAGTATCTTTGGTGGAAGAAACACATTACTCAACTTCAAATGGTACAATTTGTATTAACCTTTTTCCATGCATTTAATGCAATAGTTAATCCTAATTGTCATTGGCCATTAGTTTTAGCCTATTTGGAGGCATTACATGCTGTACTTTTCTTCTTCTTATTTGCATCATTTTATCAAAAAGCTTACGGATCTTCTTCTGCTTCATCAACATCATCACCACCAGTTTCATCGACATCTAAACAGTCTATTGCTGCTCATAGCAAATCAGAGTAAACAACTCAACTTCGACTTTATTTCATTCCGATCGGGCTGATATCCTTATATCAAGTCAACGTTGAATATTACTGGAAACTTTTCCATTCCATTGTACCCATTGTATAATAATCTTACCGCTTGATTCAAGAAAATTGTGATAAGCAATTTTATATCAAACTTGGAGAACGCACAAATTAGTCCAAAATAATCTTCTACTGCAATAATCTAAATGGACATTTTACAAACCACCAACCTTTGTTTACATTTTCCTTTCATCATACTCGAATAGACTTAATATCCAGATGAATGAGTTAAATAGATGTCCAACAATTTCTTGGTGATTTCTTGAGCTCAAAAATATTTCTAAAATTAATTCAAGAACTAAATATTTAATAATAGGCTTTTCTAACATTCCCTTACTAAATATGAATTTACTACAATTTAGCTAGAAAGTAGTAATATTTAAATTTTTACCTTTTCTTTATTTAAATTGCGACAATCAGTTGAAGCTTAGACGACTGTTATAGCCATCAGAATAGTTATAAGGTTAATAAAAAAGATGGATGAAGATGAAAAAAGTGATTGCAAGTTAAATTGAACAGAATTAGTTCAAGCTTACAACCAGACAAGTTGCGAACGATTGTCAAGTATTTAATAAATCTTTCTTAATGAGGCAATTTAATTTGAATGAAACAAAAATGCATATTTAAAGATAGTTTTAAGTTGATAATTGAATAAATGAAGATCAAAATGATTAAAATACTGATTTTAGCTAATATAAGATGAAAATGGTTAGGTTATGTGAAAACACGCTTTAAATTCAGGAGAGCCTTATTGAGAGGATACACCTTAGCGGGAAAAAGCGAAAGTATTGAATGGTGTTTAGCAAAAAAGTGATAACAAAATTGGTAAATTTGCTTCGAGCCATTTTAATATGAGGTCAACTGTTGCACTCAAAGTTGATTTTAATGACACTTTCCCTCTGGATCACAAATGATAGATTAATTAACTGTAAAAATCTTTGAATATTCAATTTTTTCATTTCTTCATTAGTTTCTTCTCTTTTTTTGCTACAGTCTGCATCGTAAACAATTCTTGACCGTTTTAAACCTTCAACCTTAACTATTATGCCTTACTATTCAACATCCATGTTAATCAACTATAAAACACTAGTCAATATTTTAACTATAACTATGTGCCCTGAATTATAAGATTAACTGTTGATTCTCGACGTCATGCAACTACCTTTAAACAATTAATTTTAATGAAATATTAATGAATAAAAGAAATTATTTTTATTTACCTGAAAATATTACATTTTGATTTTTTCCCATCTACAGGAAAATGAGCATACCTTGTACCATGAATTACTTGCTAATAATTACATAATTGTATTTGCAAGCCATAATTTACAATAAATTTAAATCATTTTGATGAATTTCCCTTTTTAGTGACTTGGTAAGTATTTTGGTGAATCGGTGAGATATAAAAGTGTAAAATTAATTTAAGATTGCTATGTTAATAAGAAAGGAATATCTCGAGCATTATCGCAATAGGAAATTAGACAAAAAATGAAGTTAATAGTGACATGTTTACCATAGGTATAAGCGAAGTGAAACGATGAAAATGTGAAAAATACGAGTGCTGAAAAGCTTTTCCTAGGTATCAAGAAATGGCCATTTCTTGAGGTTAATATGTTAATATAATAACTACCAATTAACGAGTTTATACAGGTACCCTGGAAATTTGGTTAACTTCATCAGTTTCAAACGATTCAATAGGTATGATTTAATCACCTTTCAATCTAAATTGGTTTCTTGAAGCTAAGACCAAAAATATATCTTCATTTTGAGCTATTTCGATGGTTCCATTTCCCACCTTTCTAATAATTTCAAACTTTCTCTTTATAAATATCATTGCTGTTAATTTTTAGGTGTCACGGCCTGAGTCTGTAAAAAATTGCGATTATCCTTGCGATACGAATCTTTACCGTCGTTTTTTCAGTGGGTGAATCTTCTTTTCTTACGTGTGATAGAAGAAATTATAAGTTGCTCTTGATTAGATCATGAGGCCACCAACGCAACGAGCTTTGCATGTACTAATTGTATTTGATAACAAGTAAGTCATTATCTTTACACGAATAGAAATCTAAGTTGTGTTCATCTTTATCCATTTCATATTCAATTTCCTTGGGTGAAATAAAAACAAGAAATGAGAGTCAAGTCAAATTTAAGGACAAGGCAAAATAATAGAAAATAAAAATCTTACTTGATTGAAATCATTTTTGCTTTTAACCCATATAGATATCTCTTTCATATCATCAATCGATAAAAGTCTTTTAACGAGATGTTTCAGTGCTGTTACCATTATGGTTCCTAAATAAAGACGAAAAAATTAGTGGAAATTTGTATCCTTGAAATAAGCTTACTTGGAATCTTTTTTATAATACTGGTCCCCGTGGATAAATCACAGATGGTTAATTCAATCAGCTTATTTGGAGCTTTCTTTGCTTTATTTTTAGCGGACAGATCGAAAGGAGTTCCGTAATCTTGAGAATAAAAGATTTGATGAAAAATTTGAGAATTTGTAATGTTTCGATTAATGAAGATTATCTTATGATTACCTTGAAGAATTTGTAGATATCTAGGATTCTCCTCTAAAAACGTTTCATCTCCAGCTTCAATAGATTTCAAGTATTTAGAATAATAAAAACGCAAATAATGTATTTCACCATCCCTTCGTAAATTATCTGTAATCTGTAAAGCAGCTAAGTTTTAGAAATAAGCACGAAATAACATGGAAACAAGAAAATAAGATAGGTAAAACCATTAAGCTGACCTGCTGACGATTCAGATACTTTAATCTTCCAACAATGCTTAAAACAAAGTTGAAGGTATAATCGAAGTTCATGTCTTCAAACAACGGGTTATCACGAACAATGAGTTCTTCTAAAGCTGGTAGTTTGTTAAGATTGGCAATGTCCTTCCATGAATTGAGACGATTGGTTTTAAGATCGAGATGTTTAAGGCTGAGAAAAAGATTTTCGTTCTCATCGATTTCCACTGATTCAATGCCACAATTTACCAGTTTGAGACAAGTCAATCTATTTGAAAAATTACATAACATGTGATTAAGTTGTTCACCTCTAACAAAGATGAGTAACTTACTTTTTAAGATTTCCTAGATTGTTGATATATTTCCAGTTTATTAGTTGATTGCCATTGAGGATTAATGTTGTAAGATTGTTAAACATTTCAGGTGCTGGAGCTTCAATTGAGTCTATTAAATTATCGAAAACATCCAGCTCTTCTAATTGCGGCCATAAATATTTGCTACATAAGACTATCTTTGACCAGTCATAATTCAATTTTCCGAGAATGATAATCTTGATTTTGCTGAAATATTGAGACAGTTGTTGATACTCATCATCTGACAGTATTTCCAATGGATTACCGGTAACAATAATGTGTCTTAAAGATTGCAGGTTTCTCACGAGATCAGAAATTTGTCTCCAAGAAGTAAGTTGATTAAATGATACATCTAATATCTGGACATTTCTAAGCTTATCAAACATTTCCGAGTCATGATCAACAAATCCAATTGAACAGCATTTCAAATCAATTTCGGTTCGTCTTTCCAATGCTTTAAGATGCGAGTTTAGTTTTTCCGATCTTTCATACAACAAACTCTTTGATTTACCAGCAAGAGTAGGAAATAGTATACCTGGGTTTTCATCAATTCCATCATAGTCAAGATATTTTGATTTTACTGCTTCAGTAAAACTCGACTGTTTTTTCGTATCCATTTATCCTTCACAATCCTTGTCAGTGAACGCTGGACTGGCCAAACACAATAGCACAACACAGAAAACAAAAAAAATTATCCAAATATGTTAATAGTGCACCTGATTAAAATAAATTGACAATTAAATCTTGATAAACAATTGTTAAAGTAAGGTCTGAAAACCAGTTACCAGTAACCATGGTTATGATAAACACTCTAACCAGCTGTTACCTAGATGCTGCTTTTACGCTGCAAGCAATTTTGAATGATAAAAATTTCAATTATTGAATATGATTTAATATTATTTAACAATAATAATGAGTTAATGTGTTTAATCATCATGTTTATTCGTCTGTTTTCTTGCATCTTCAATCACTATAATATTTGTGGATAAGTTAATTAAATTTAAGTTAAGGGTAAGGAACTTTCATCAAGGAACTAAGGAGAGTTTAAATCTAAACAACAGTTAATCTAATTACTTTACAATTGTGATCGAAATGAAATTCGTGGATATGATAAAGTAAATAACAGTCCGTTCGCTTGGTGGGATTGGAAATTCTTGTGTGACCAATTTAAACATATATTTGAAAAATGTTACTTTCAAGTAATGAGTGAAGTCTAAAAGATTTCCAGCATTTCAATCAAAATATTTCATTTTATCTAGATAATTGAACTAATCGAAGAATTGATCAGTTTAAAAATCACTGCATGGGAAAAGAATCTAAGCTTGAATGGTGAAACTGGAAGATGCTCATACTTAAAATATCTGACAATCCATCAATATAATTCATGGAATGTTTCAGCCAGAATTAGTAAATAAAGCAATTTGTAAATAAATCTTTTACAGTCAAATAATAGCTATGAATTGAATTATTCAATATCTTTCGTTGAATAACGAAATTATGAAATTATGAAATTAAACTCAATTTCATGAACGGAACAAAAGCGTTTTATACCATTTAACCTTTAAAGATTGATCTTTTAGTCTGGAATCAATCTGGATTTAGTTTTGATCAAGCAAAATCATAATCATAAATGGTCTGGGAATGTTGATAAGTTCAATCCATCAAAGTGAATCAGGTCAAAATCATAAGCACACTGATTGTATTGCAAAAGTTGATTGTCCAAAACATTTAATTCAAACAGTTTCAATCAGATATTGTCTCTTTCAATGTCAACCTTTTCCAATCTGTCCAATTGATGAAACAATTGAAAAAAAGATGGAAATACTGTTAACCTGATTCTCTCAAATCAAATGAAAAACAAGAAGCTACTTTATTGGGCAAATGGATTTGATTGTGTTTCATTTCAATTTAAATTAACGCCAAATGAAAGAAACTAAAAAGATACAATTTAAACTAAATTAAATCATTGGAATGTTATTAAACTGTTCACTGTTTGAGATTGTCTCACATTCGTATCTGAAAATGAATTTTTCAATTTTATCCCATTGATTGAAACAATTTAAGTGAAGATGAACAGCAAGATTGATTTTGCATAATCTTCATGTAAGTTGGAGTTAAACTCCTTTTTTGTATCCATTACTTTGTTTGATCAGGACTAATTAATTGAATAAACCATCTAAACAGGGAAATGATTTGTTCAATCAAACGAAACACAAACGTTAATTACATTCCTATTCATGCATAAATGAAGAAGAATCAAAAAAAGAATCAATTAAACACCAAGAATTAACAAGGTTTAATCTGAATACAAGAGTTGTTCGTATAACGAAAGCTACAAAAAAGCAGTTTTGTTATTTCCGTTGCCTTCAAACAACCATTAACCATCCAAACAATCAACGCACAAAATTAGATTAATTGGCAAGATGATTTAGAGGAAACACAATCAATATGGAAAGTCAGGCGATATAATTAAAAACAAATTGAACAAATTAGACGCAGTTGAATCAGTCTGAAACCGTAATGATATACAAACCAAAATGTGAATATTGGTAAGCTTGAGAGTTAACTGTGATTAAGATGATTATTGAGTGAAATTATACTAATTTTAGGTTCATCAACTTGCATGTAATATTAATTATTGGTGAAAACAATGGGAATAATCAAAGAAAAGGGAAAACAAATCTTATATTAGTATATCTTCAACTCACACGTTAACCTTTTTTGCTGTAAAACAACAAAAAAGGTTACTTTTGGTTGATCGGTTATTCAGTTAATCAGCTAATTGTGAGCCCAACAAAATTAGTCTTCAATTATCAGATTTGACGTTTTTTTCGACTTGTGTATTCAGTGATCAGTTTTAATTCAATTTTGATGAGAGTGATTAAGAATGATTTTGTGGTTTTGTTTCGCAAAGGAAGACACTCAAACATGGCGACTAAAAAAGACTTGATTTACAGGAGGCACAAAAAAAAGTTACACCAAACACAACAACAATTGTCATTATTAATAGTGTTCATTAATTCTTGATTGTTCACTTTTTCTCGTAAGAATCAGTTGCTTCTAAAAAGTGTATGTTTGAGGAAAAAATTAAAGCTAAAAAACATCACTTTTTCATGTAAACCTATTGGTTACAATTGGCTTGCCTTTAGCTTTTTGTACTGAATTGTTTTACCAGTTTTTTTAGATGATACTGATGATCATAATCATCTTTATGTTCATCTAATTAATTGTAAGTGATAGTTGGGACCACATTTAACACGATTTAAGGTCCACCTTCACCGAATCCGAAACCTTGCCTACCAAATATTGTATTTTTAACCCAAACACTTGAACATTTAATCGATCATTTGGATTTGTTAAGTCAATTGCCAACATTAACTTGACATAGCAGTTTCAAATTGTTACCAGCAATTTGTTGTGTCTGTTGCCCTTTAATTGAACGGGCTTGTGAATCATTATTTATATATTGAGTCTTCTGAATGATTTGAAATTTTTCCAACTGTTGTTAAGATTTTCACAATGTTTGGACTTTCATATGTTTGGATTATCATTTCAATATGCAACTTGGATAGTTTCATTGTTTTAGTTGAGAGTTCACCGGATAAATTCAGCGTCTACCCACAATCTGATCTACATCAGCCCTTCTCAACAGTTGAAACCAAGACTGGAACTAAATTAAGTCCTAATGGAGCAGCAATCAGACAATGGGAAACCAGAAGCTGGATATCAACTATACCTTTACAAAAGGCTGTTACAGTTGATAATAGTAATGCTTTGAAAAATGCCATTCCTAAACATTATAATGACTTGGATACTGGATTAGCTTCAACAACCTTGTCAACAACATCGGTTTCCCATGATGATCAATTTGACTTTTCAGAGAGCAAATATTCAAGTTCATCCTTCCGCGATAACGATCCGAGAGATCCTCGCAATTATCCGATCATAAGTACATCCAACAATATAACTCATCATAGTCCATCAGCCGAGTCAAGATCCCGTTCAACAGAGTCAGAATGTAAAGGTGACAGTTGCCGTAAATCACCTTTCCAGGGAACATATGATACAATCAATTATCAAAAGAAAATTGTTTATCCAGAGAAGCAATCTTCTAGAGTTGAGGAGCCAAATTATCCTCGACGGTTTAGAGGCGAAGACAATTACAATGATGAAGGTGGTCGTCCGCACCACTCTCGATATCATCACCACTCTAGCGAAATAATCGATCATAATAATGAAAAGGATTCTCGTCATCCAGCTACACCTCACCATTTAACATGGCAACATCATGCACATCCAAAGGGAAGATCGAGTCGTTGGGAATCTGATATGAGTTCATTGGGCAATGAACATGGAAATGAACCTGATGAAGAATGGAATAGAAAAGATTGGAGAGATAAGTCAATGGGTTCTAATAGAGATTCATTTGGTTATAATGCAAAAACATATCGTAATTCAATGAGAGGGAATGAGGAAAATGACAAGGATGATAAAAATAAAGATCACAGTTATCACCAACGTGACCATTATCAAACTCGCCGACGTAAATATAATAACAATGATACCAAAGATGAACCCAGACCTGGTGGTAAAGATCACTATGAGTATGATAGACGGGAGTATGAGAAGGAAAGAGACCGTGAATGGAGGAATTATTCAAATGGACGGAATCATGACAACAATGATAACGGTAACAGTGAGCCTAGCTATTATAATGGAAAATCTGAAGAAAGATGGGAATCGGGTAAAGAGGATCATGAGAATGAAGGAAGAACAGATAAATCAACACCTCATGAATATCACAGCAATAAAAGCAACAATAAAAACAACCATGATAGCAATCACCACCATAGATCATATGATAATAATGGCAATGATAGTCACAGAACTGTTAAACCAGGAAAATCAAAGCCAAAAGTAAAGACTTACCATCATGATGAAGAGACTCCTGATGGGTATTCTCATGCTCATGGATATGAGAAAGAAACAGTAGAAGGAAGTCGATTCTTTGAGCCATCAGGATTAGCCGGACACGATACCAATGATCATCACAATAATCCACCTCCTCAACACTACATAAATGATTATGAAAATAGCAAATCACACAATGTTTCAGATGAATATAGACACAATAATCATTATCAAAATGGTGTTGGATCAAGTAGACAGTCTAATAACCGAATCCATGGTAAAAATAAACCAGAATGTGACTGTTCAGGTCGAAACGGTAAAGGTCGACCTATTCCTGAAGTAGCAGACGATGCATCAGCTAAATCAAAAGCAGCTGCAGCATCAGCTGCTAGAGTTAAAAGACAAGACGAAGACGTTAAGCTAATATTTGGTACTCGATCTGGTCAAAAGTTAAAATCTAACTTGGTAAACGATACAAAAAGTAAAAGATGATTAATCAATTAATCAAAATTTTCCATTAAATTGGAAATTCAAATGAGATTGTTTCGTTTTGACTAATTGTACGGTAACATCAATCTTTCCCGATGTCTATACAGCCTGTTGAAGTAACCTAACCTTTTTTTGTGTAAGATTTTTTATATTAATTGCCTTTTTAATCACCTAGACTAATAAATCGTCAATTGTTTGATTTTAATGAATTATCGAATCGAAGTTTTTTGATGACCTGACAAACATGAGCATATCACCAATCAATTTCCGAGATACCTTAAAGATAAATTTGAAAATGATTTAATATTACATCTTTATTGATAATAATTTATTATTGAAGTTATTAAATTACTCGGACAATTAAAAAATTGAATATGAATAAATTTGTGTGTTTAAGATTGACAACAGTCTTGGTGGAAAGACTGTAATAAGAAAATACATTTGATTAGATTTAAGCTTGACAATGATTTAGCTTAACAAAAGTAAAAGATGATTAGCTATTAGACTAAAATGATGAATTCTTTCAGATCTTTTACTCAGTGGTGATGAGAAAGATTTCAGATTGCTGAATGTAGCTTTGAAAGCAATAAGTTAAATCTTTACAATGAGAAATAATGAGAAATTAATGAAATCTTTGGATTAGAAAGTAATGGAGACATGGAATAATTTGGGAGAAAAGTTGATTAATTGATGATCTTTAAAGCACTGAGGATAAATTGCGATGGAAGATGTTGACTAATGTTTGTGTTGATAGGAGGAAATTGTTGATCAATTATGGAGTGTGTTTAAACAATGGTGAATTTAATTATGTGGTAGACAATTATTGCACTTTTATGGGAGTGAATCAGGGAAATCCGGGTCTTTTAGATGTTGATTAAAATAAAATTTGGGAACCAGAACTATAATCCAGATGATTCCATTTCAATTTCTTTCTGAAACATTCGGATTAACAGTGATTCAACTGAAACTCTTTCAACAATGTGAACCTTAAGCTCAGGCTTATCGGGAAGATAAAAAATAGACGATCGATGATTACTTGATCCACCATAGGCAGCAAAATCGTCATACTGATTAAAATCAAAGTCAACCAAGCCATCTAATTGTTCAGCTTGCAACGATTCTTTGGTGGCTTTTGTTGAACTTTGGCCAGAATTGATTTTATTTGGATCACCTTTTTTGGTATTGGGTGTTGACAAGGCACCATTAGTGTTAACACTGGACAAACCAAGTTGTTTAATCTTGTTGAGAACAGAATTGAGATAAACTGAGCCTTCAGTTGTATTCGTATATTCCAAGATGAAAGCCTCAATAACAAAGGCAGCAAAAATATTGAGCACAATTATTACACATGCAACATGGAATGAGATGAAGAAAAGCCGAGTATATTTGGATGCGGCTAAAATTTCAAAATTATGAGCCAAAGTGTGCCATTCATTGACCACCATAAGGTCAAACAAAAGGAGAAAGGAACTTGCAATGCTATTAAAATTGATTGTACACATTGTTACATTTTTAGAAGCCAAAGATTCTGGACAGCAATCAATTGAGTCACTTGAGCAGCCGGAAGGATTTGAATAGACTAGTCCATGAAATAGTTGCATCCCAATAATGGCATAGAAATAGTAAAGAACCAGAAGAAGAATGCCGTAAGTAGCAATGGAAGGAACCAAGGAACGAATTGTGACCACAACAACAGAGAACCGTTCAATGTTTCCAATTATTTTGCCAATACGAAGAGCTCTCAATACTAAGACAATATCAAAATATCTGCCCAACGATGCCTCGGTCGCATAATTGGATGAAATGAGTAACCAAAAGACGATTGCTAAGCCAATGACAATAAAATCAAACGCATTCCAAAAGCTCTTGATAAACCCATGAGTGCCAAAAGCGTAGAGTTTGGCAAAAATTTCAAAGGTAAAAGCAGTAAGTAGATAATATTCCAGTTTAAGCTGCCGATGATTATCGTAAATTGCTATGAGAGCCACATTGAGAACAATTAGACAATCAAAAAAGTATCTAAAGTAGCGTGAATGAACCATCCGAATCAAAGCTTGAGAAGGTGCACTTTTGTAGACAAAGGGAAGCCAATAGCCGCAACATGATTCTTGTGAATTTTTTGAATAAATAATACGAATCTTCATTGCCATTAAATCTCCAATATCCATGAAATCAGATCTTCGAATGCGTCCGTTTGTTTCCAAAATTGACCAAACGAGGTCAACAATGACTGAGTTGTGCCGAGCAGCATAATCAAAGACTGACCAGGTTTGAAAGACTGCTTCCATTATAATCTCTAGTTGATCTCGAGTCATCCCAAGTTCATCGCCTTTGGTTACAATGTCATAGGCTCGGCTTAGATTATCACGCTTAATTTGTAATAATTTACAAACTTCGTTCTAAAGGGAAAGGAAATTAAAGAGAGTTAATCTTTTATATTTAAAAGAGACTTTGATTGATCAAACCGGAATCAGGATCATTAAAGTTACTTCCAGGATTAGTTGGTATAGACTATAATCCATTGACAAAACAAATTAAATTTGCTAGTATCAATGACTATTAGTGTACACGATACTAAAATATCAATGAAATAACAATTAAAATGTTCACATTTGTATTCCCAAGTTTGTTTCATGTTGACATGTTGAGATAGTAATTCTTCAAATAATCAACTAAACTCAAAATCATTGAATTCATTTGTTGAATGGAAATATTAATTTACCTTTAAATGTTTACGGTACTTGTTGTAGATTACAGCTAATATTATGTTCATGAACAGGTAGAGGTTTATGATTAGAAAAATGATGAAAAATATTGCATATAATCTGTTCCTATTATAACTTGGCATCCTAAAAGAGAGAAAATAATTAGTAAATTTATCTTCAAAATTATTTAAATAAAGACCAGTGTTGACAATTCTGGTTCAAGCATTGAGACAGAACTTGAGTTGCTCCAAAAACACTTTGTACTTACATAATTGAAGGGTTATTTGCTGTGGTAACTAAGATGTAAAGCTGGTAAAAACTGTCGATGAAATTATCAAAATAATTTAAACTCTCGGACACTTTTTCATCATGAAATAATTTAGCTTTGTTAAACAATTTAAATGCAATTAGTGAAGAAACTCCAAGAGAGAGAAAGAAGAGAATCAAAACGTTGATTATGTCAGGTAAAGTGTTCCGTATACTCCTGATTGCTCGACGAATCTGTGGATATAAAAAAATTCAAGTTATAATCAAGTAATCAAACAATGAGAAATGTTTATTTCATTGAGTTAGGAGTTAAGAGTTGCTCAAAATGAAATGCAAGTTAAAAATATGTTCAATGTATCAATGAAGGTAAAGTAGTAATGTGAGTTGACAACAATAAGCTATGATAAGCACGATTCATCAACAGCAGGGTAATTCAAAGAAAATTAACCGACAAAGCTTCATGGAACAGTTATTCATAAAAATTCAATTTTGATGGATGTCAGTGTTAACTATGGTTATGTTCATTCACTATGATTTGGCGATTTTTTTTCTAGACTTTTAGCAGTTGCATATCAATCTGAATTGAAAAGAAGGGTTAAAGAGACTATGAAATGGAATAGAATAGAAATTGAAATATTATCATCAAAATATGAATTTAAAGGTGAAAATTGTGTTCAACCTTTACTTTTTTTTCTACTTGTTCACTGCTGTAGCTCATCATCATCATCGTTCTCAAAGTGTTCAGTCAACAAGAACGACTGATGAAGAGCTTTCAGATAAATGGCAATTGTGGTTCTTTCCAATTCAGTCAGGTTATAACATAAAAGCTTTTCAGTTTCTTTCCTTTGGTTATATCATCTTTCTTTCGCGCTCTCTACCTGTTCACCCAACCAGAGATGAAGTTAACAACCAAGCAAGAAAATAGATAGAAAAATAAAGCTTCAAATTAAAAATTTGAAAGTCAAGGTAGCACAAGCAAAAAATCAACATAATTGAAATTGATTCTGAGACAAAATGCCAGAAAATCTCGCATTTTATGCAAATTGGTCAAACGGTTTGCTATGGTGGATACAACTTGAAAAGCGTTCACTTATTTACGAGGTAAGATAGTAACAACTGCTAAAGGAGATAAATTATTCAATCAGAACAAATTACAGGTGATTGTACTCAGGAGGAAAGCGTTGAAGGAGCGGGTCAACAAGCCTTAGTTTCATGAGATAATATCGTGAAGATTCGAGAGAAAATATTGTAACTCAGAAGTTGCATGGATATTGAGGTGAAAGGTTAAAGATATGTTAAGGGTTGAAATGTTATTGTCTAAATGTTTAACATTTACCTGTCGATTCTCTGCAAATGTTATTATGAAAAGTGGCCGAAGACATAGAGACCATCTCATGGCTTTGTTACTGGGAAGAGCCAAGTAGGCAACAATGTCAAGTAAAGTGATGACAACTGTCCAGATGAGGATAATTGTTTTAGGATCATGCCAAAAGGTATAACTTTGAGTAACATAACCACGAAGAACCAGACGAATAACAAAATAGGTAAGGCACAAAAGTTCAATGGTAATGGTGAGATTGTCAAAATAAGCTTTATTCCGAGTTTGGCCGATTGGCTCCCAAAGAGCAAGCAAATGAAGGACAGCGAGAAAAATGAATAATAGATAATATAGAGACCAGTGGCGATAAACATAATACAAACGTAGAGATCTTGAATCTGTTTTAAATTCAAATGGGTAACCTTCAAATGCACTGTTAACCAGAGCACCACTTAACAGGGCATCGTATGTCCGACCAACTGACGACTGTTCTGCATCAACATTGCTTGATGAATCCGTTATATCTTTGTCCGAAGTTAAATTAAATGACTGATTATTAACACGATTATCAACTCCGTTCATTTCAACCTCCATCAAATTCAAGAGAAATGGTAAGCACGGAAATTAACGAAAACAATGATGGAGTAGAGTAATATTTCAATAATCAAGTTTAAGGGTAACACTTTGTCAATAGTTGTCGTTGACCAGATATACTTCATACATATACATGCATGTATGAAAGTATTGTCAAGATGGAGAAATAACCAGGAACAATAGGAATAATTATTAACGTTGAAATGACAGAAGTGATTGTTGCCTATGAGAGGTGAAAAGGCGTTTAATTTGTGATCATTGGCTATCACTGTTGCACTTTTTGATTATTTGCCAACCAACATGCTCAATAACACTATTAGACTGTGTTAAGGAAAGCTGATAAACATGGTGTTAAGTCCACGGTGGAAATATTCCTTTTAAAGGTTTGACTTCAAATTTGGGGTTTTGGTTGCCTGTTCAAGTCCTGTAGTGGATGCTATAACATGGAACATAGAGAAAACATGGAAAAGTTGACAAAAAATGAAATTTATTTACAAATGAAATTCATCATTGAATTATGGTTGGGTTGGGTAGTAACTGAAAAATGTATCTTTACAATACCTTTCAATTCAATGTGTATATCTTTCTCTTTATTTGGCCTTGTCAGTAATGATGACGATGGTGATTAACTGCACCAACTGAAAGTATTACGAAAGGAACAATAACAACAAGCAAAGATGATGATGGGATGTTGTTTCTGTTGATGGTTGAAAAAGTAAACAATCACAAAATACCAATTAAAATTAAATCCGGCTGAGAGAAGGGTTGCTGGATAAGTGGATAAGGGTTTTCTGAGGATCTTTGTGAAACAATGAACCTGGATTGACTAATGACAGATTCCGAAATTCAACTACAGATGTAACTTTTCAACATCTATTTGACTCAAACAACTCAAAACAGATTGCAAGGCAAAACCCTAACTTTAGTTTAGTGAGAGAAAGTGAGAGCAAATCTCAGATTGATTCTTTAGAAAGAGAATGTAGACAGAGAAAAGAAAGAGAGGAAAACCAGTTCCTTTCCACTGTGAAATTTCTGGTAATCTCAGCTAAAGGTACTCTTTTTAGCTATTACCAGTTATTTCATTTTTTTGCTTATTTTGTTGATCATTGTATCTATCAATTGATCAATCATTTGTGTGTTTCACCTCATAATCATGATAAATTCAAAGAATCACCTCTCAACATTTTAACAGCCAATTTGGACGAGTCGCTCTTTTAATACCATTTTCAATAACCAGAATTGGTTTTTGGGTAACAGTTTCATATCATAAGCAGGGACGATGCAGATTTCAGGTCCATAATTAAAACCAGTGAATCACCAAATTGCTGTCCATCGGCAAAGTTCACGTTAGTAAAATTCTTGGGTTGAAACGAATTGTTGAATTATTCTTGGGAATTAGTCTTGACTGATCTGACCGACTTGTGAATACAAATCTTGTAGCAATCTTTTCAGGTTCCTCTGGAGACAATGAAATTGATTGATAAAAATTGATTACTATTTCAATTTTTATCGTAACTCGAGTATTAAGTGATTCGTTTTCATGTTTGGACCAGTTTGGCGGTTAGAAGTTTAAAAACTGGTTCACCAATTACACTGTAATTGGTAAATACTGTAAGAGTTTAAACTGTTTTTTAGAGATTGAAAGATGACTAAAGGAAAAACAGAACGACTTGCATTAACAAACCATGTTGATCAAATAGTCAAACATGATAATTATCTTGATGAAGATCGTTGATTGATTCAGGAACAAAATTGTAATTCTTACAATAAAGTTAATTACCGTGAATCAATTGAATTATATGAGATCTGGTAAGAAATGACTGCAGCAGTTGAGTAGACAGTTACATGAACTGTAAACCAAAAAAGACAGACATTTGTCTCTTTTTGTCTTTCCTTTCTCTTGTTTTTTTTTCTCTCCATTCTTTTTATTTTTCCAACAAACTCTCTTTTCAGTTCGCCATGTTATCATCACCTTTCGGCATATGTTTTGCCACCTTCCATAATTATAATTGTTGTGCGTCACCACAATTTCAGTTAACCATAGCCAGTTAACTTATTGGAAACCTTAAATCTTTTCATTGTTTTCACCAACAGAAAGCTAATTAATCCTCACTGGTTTAACATACTTTTTGGGAAAGCTACAGCCGTTAAATACAATCAACTGGAGTAATGGCCACCTCTAGTCAGCCAGAGACCAAATCAAATCAGGATGATCAGGTTTGTTTAACTAATTTTAGCCAATATAATAAACCGATTTCACCTAGTCTTCTTCATCTAACTACCCATAAGTTACCCGTTAGTTACCAACAAGTTATTCAATCAAGTCTTTAATCCGAGACATTTGATCAAACATATTTTCCTGTGAGTTGTCAGATGAGCCTCCAGTTAGCTCTATCATGTCCGATGTTTTTTGAATCCATGCCAAACTATTCGCCATATTAATTGTTTTATCTTGTATCGTTATCTAGTCACTTCCACAAATGAAAGATTAATGAACTAACCATTGGCTGAATACCATCTATGAATGAATTATTAATTCATAGAAAATTGTTTGATGAGTTGTCTTAACGCTTTACCATTGACTTTTTAAGTCAATATTTCACTCAATGTTTTTGCTTTGGATATTCAATTTATGATCGTTTTAACAATTGACAATCAAAAGAAGTAGTTTCATTAAATTAGTATTAAGTAGTTGAATCTAGTAGACTGACATGAAAACCATAATCCATGTTCTGACCGACCATAAAAGCATCTGACAGCCTTTTATCCCCTTCAAATTGATTTTAATAGAGACTTGTAATATTTGCTCATAAAAAAGGTATCAATATAATTGTAACTCACAGGTGAATCAACAGTATTTTACTTGAGTTAAATTACTTTTCTAATCAAACAATCAAAGATGGTTCCTGGATGTTTTAATGTTTATTTCCTCTCTTTTTCCTCTAAACCAGAAAACAGACAACAACAAAGAGACAAACGACCAGACTTCGGATTCTGTGGATGAGGCGAACAGTAATCCAGAGCGAGGTTTAATTGGAGCAGCCACTGATAATATCTGGAATGTTGGAGTTGGTGCTGTCAAAGGAATCAGTTGGACACTCAGTTCAACTTACAATTATAGTGTTAGCCTATTGAATCGTTCGTATGCACTTAAGATGAAAGACAAAAATGAATAATTATTCTGAACTGAATGAACCCATTTAATCTAGACCAGCAAACCAAACAACCAACAAACAGCCGAATCAAACCCAAAATAAGACAATTTCCAAATGGCTTGCTCAATTTAATTGTGTGTGTTTTTACCTAATTGTTTCCATTGAAGGTAAAACTTCACCAATCTCATTTTAATTAAGTAATTTGATCTTGATCAGCTCCAGAAACTTTGACTCTATCTCTTATATTGAGAAAGTCAATCACAATTTCAAAATGAAAAACAAAAACAACTCATTTCTTCATGGTTGCTCATTTTTCATCATTCATTGGGTAGTTTATTTTTTCTTCATGTATCTTTTATCATAAACATCGCCATCAATTTAATCATGATTATTTCAACTTCATTCACCTTTATTATGTAACTGTGAAAATCATGTGCTCAATTCATTCAACAGTTGATCATCTTCCGGTCAACCTTGGCTTTTTACCTGCTAAATCATTGTGCAAACTTTCATTATCAAACATTTACAGCGTGTCTATCATAATTGTTGATAATTGTGCTTACACATGATGATTTTCACGTCTCAAATTGTTATTAATGTGATAATTTTACCAAATAAATGAGAAGAAAAAAACAGAACAGGTTGTGATTAAATGTTCACAAGCTACGAGAAATAATCATTGAACCACAAAAATATATTCTTACTACAGTACCGGTCAAAGAAACTGTCAGTATCTACATTCAAAGTTGAATACTTTTTATCTACTTGTAATAAAACCATGATTGTACTCGTATTTTATTTGAAAACATTCAGGGATAACATGGTAGTTTTTTTGCAATTTAATCGAGAAAATTGAATACAAAAATAATATTGAATTTATGCCATGAATTTTTCAGCCACTTAAAAATTCTGTAAGGATTATGTGTAAAAAATCTGACTTTCGAGTTAAGAGTTAGAACTTTGTGGATTTGTAGGCCCATAAAAACTGAGTCCATTAGTGGCATTAAAAAATTCGATCGACAGTTTTTGAGATAATTGAAGTCAAAGTGAAAACTTCGATCGCCTTTTCTTCAATTATGGGACAAGATTTTTGCATGAAACTTATTTTTCTGAGCTAACTTCCCAAGCAGTCAGAAATTAGCTTTTTATCGCGATTTTCTCAGATTTAACTTAAAGAAAAGAAATTTCTCTCTGAAATTTATTTCTATTATAGTTTGAATATGATTGAGTTTTATTGACATGAAATATATTATATAGTTTTCAATTGATATTTTTGATTAGCATACAAAGCTAAAGTATAACTAGCTTGAAGTTTTGATTAAATCTATCAGTTTGTAAAACCCAAAAATATTGCAATAATTTAGGATATTATCCTGTTTCAGATAAAATTATGAGAAACCAAAGGAAAATTCTGTTCTTTATTCTTATGAAGAATTGAATTGATTGTGAAATCTTTGGTAAATTATTGTATTATTAAATTATTAATCTCTTATTGTTAGTATAATCTGGTTTGATTGCAGCTTTAATTATAATACAAACTTAAAATTTTAATTCCTTTTTTACACAACAGATGACACTAGCTTACTCATTTTTGGTGACTCGTTTCTTGTGTGTTTGCCCAGCCAATGGAAAATTGCCAGCAAGACTTTTCATTTGAAAGTGTTTAACTCTATTTATTAATCATTTATCAATCTATTTAATTAATTTTTCCTTCTTTCTAATTGTTTTACTCTACTAAGTAATTTGTATCTTTGATTATTCATCATCATTCCTGTTAAGCATGGAGCCTATTAAGATTGACAAGTGGGATTGTAGTGCTTTAAAGAACACCTTGGATGATTGTTGTCGTAACATTTTGATTGATAAATACAAGTACGCTGAATGCCACAAATTAATGGACATTCGACTAGCCATTTGTACCGCTGCAGTTGCTTGTGCTGCTTTCGCTCTTGTTTATGATTATTTATATGCTTTTCCGGCTTCCAAATTGGTTCTCATTACTTGTTCATCAACATACTTCATCCTTATGGGAGTCCTTACACTATACACTAATATGGTTGAAAAGGGTATCTTTTTAGTCGCCAAGCAAGTTGATTCAAGTGGAAATGAACCTGCGAAGAAAATTACTGTTTCCTCATGTTTGAAACGTTTCGATGAAAATTATCAACTCTGTTTCGAGTATAATACTGGCAAAAAGGGAGCAAAAACAAAGGAGAAGACAATCACCAAGTCTGTCGCCAATTGGTTTGATGAGGATGGTCAACTTTTATACGACAGCTTTAAACATGATGTCGTTCAATTACATGATTCAATTGTGAACAAGAAAGATCTCTAAAATTTTAATTATCAATCCAAATTAAACAGATATTTTAAAAAATACAGTCGTGGTGTCCTATTTTTTACATAAGCTTGATATTCCAATGATCAAAGACTGAGAGAAACTGTTTTTTGGTTTTTTGGCCTTTCTCCCCTTCTCTTTTTTTATTTTACCTTTTGTTATTGTATTTCACTCAACTTTATCATATATTCTATTTCTTTTCTCGTTTCTGCATCTCTACCCCTTATCATACTTCACTAAATCCTGTGTTGTTCTGATCAAAGACTGATACGAAAGACATGGAGAAGGTTGAATCGCCAAAGGAGGAACGAAATACAAAGAAGTCAGCAAAAAACCGATTATCCAAGTCACTCGTGGTAGATAATTTACAAAAAAGACAGCGGAGATGGAGCGAATAGTGGTGAAGATGACAATACATGGGACTGTACTGTGTGCACCTTTAAAAATCCAGCAGAAGCTTTCAAATGTTTAATGTGCGATGTTCGTAAAGGAACCAGTACGCGTAAACCAAGGATTAATCCAGAATTGGTAGCTCAACAAGTAGCCCGACAACAACAACACTTATTATTGAAAATATCTCATGGAAGAACTAGAGATGGTAACAAAGAAGGCAATGGTAGGAATGATAGTGATGGAAATTCTAGGGATGCAGAGGATCGGCGTGACTCTAAAATTAAAGATAGTGATGCTGATTCAGGTGCTGAAACAAAAAAGGAAAGGAAACAGACGAAACATCGAAAGAGTTTAAATAATGACGGTAATTCGCCGGGACCCAGTAGTCACAATAATAAAATCAGCAATAGAAACAGCCTTGGTTCAACTGGTAGATTAAAAAAATCAAGGAAGGATGCCGAGGCAAAAAGTCCATCAGTAGCTGCCTTATTGGCAAGTAATCACCCCAATAACCTGGACTCATCTTCATCTTCATCAACTTCATCATTATTATCCAGTGCGACAACTACAGCGAAGGCAGTTTACTTTTTTGATTATTATAAGTTCATTCATCGATTCAATATATTCCTTTTTATGTTTGTAAAAATCAACAAAATGTTGTTTTGTGTAGTCAGGATTTCGCGTTTGTCTTACACAAATATTTTTGCAAATTAAACAAATGAATGAATAAAATTGTTTGATATTTTTTTCAATTTCTTTGGCATAATTTTTTTTTATAATAAAAGTATAATGATGAACATTTTTTTCCATCAGATCGACCGATCAAAATAATGGCCACCAAAGTTTTATGGGATGTAGAAAAGTTGCTAATAGTTCTGAATTTGAAAGGTATATTTTGAAATTTTCAATCAATGGAGTATTTAGTGTTTGATAAAGATTGATAATGATATTTATCGGTTAAGTGATCAAGCTTTCTAAAAAACCATTTTATGTTCATTCCCACTATTTCTTAGGAACCTCTTATGTACCTATCAATTTTGAAGTAAAAGCTTCCCAGTGTTGTCAATATTGACTTAAAGATCAATCGAAGATTTTAATATTAGATTAGAATGCTTTCGTTGAATTATAATATCAATTTATGGATTTCATTCTAAAGTCATGGTATGTGCAATTGTACGTTCACAAAAATTGTTACCGAGTAATTGATCATACATGAAAATAGTAAGAAAGCGTTATAATATTACCATACTTATTCGGATTTATTGTTGGATGGTTATTTTACAGGACTAATTACGCTTCTCGTTAGCACTCAAATAAAGATGTTTGATTTCACAGACTTGAAACATTGTATTACCACAGTCTTTACGTTTAGCGGAGCCAAAGCAATTGTGATAAAAGCCATTGAACTCGTGTTTGGACTTCGTTTGGCTGATTTTGATGATGAAGAAGCAATCAAAGATCTAAAGCGATTTGAATCAATTTGTGTTTCATTCAATATTTTACCAAACGGATTCGCTCAAGATGAAAGTATAACTCCATCTAAATGGACTAAAACCAGATCAATCCTCTATTCAAGTCTAATGATTTTTCATATTGTTCATTTAATATTGTTGAGTGGCTTTGATTTACCAGAAGATTTGGCTTTTATAATGGGTGACTTTTTTTACGGTCATCGAAGCCACAAGTATTTTTGGCCTTACTTGCTAAATCTGACTATTTTTGGTGAAGTCTTGAGACATTTTTGGATACATCTATACAAAACCGGTGGACCATTTTCATTTCATATGCATAACTTTGTCTTCCATAAAGGATACAAACCTGAAGCACTGTTCATGAGCCTATTTTACTGTCAAAATTATCGTTTTGTATCTAATAGTTTAGTTAATTTGTGGATCAGAATAATTGAGATATCTGTAATAGGCATAGGTCCAGTTTTAATCATCATTGTTCAATCAACATCCCAACTACCTAAAACACCTCAACAATATATTTTCACTTACTTTTGGCTATTGATAAGTTATTTTGGGATTGTATTTACTTTAATCAATTTGATGTTAACTGCTGGCATAAATACCACTGATTTATCTTATTTTTACTTTAGAGCTTGCTATGTAACGAAAACTTTGCATAATTTTGTTACTGAAAAGATATTTATGCAAAATAACGATTTCTTGCCTTATTATGAAACAATTATTCGAGATATAATTTTATTTCTAAACGAAACAGAGTATCGAAATCATAAAGTCAGGAATTGGCTTATGATTATAATTCTTGGAATATCTTTTACAGCAGATTTTGGGTTTTACTCTGCCGCTATAGTCCATATCGATAATGGATCCTTGGACATCTCTATAATGGCTATTTCTGCTTTGTCTTTATTCGCTATCGGGATAACTACATATGTAAATGGTATCATATTGACAATGGTGAGTGTATATCATTATTGCAATTACACTTCATCCTTCATCCCTCTTTATATTATATTACTTTTATTACTGTAGATGCTCTCTTGTAGTAAGAATAATCTGGAAGTGGCTAAATATTTGCCATCAGAAGTGAAATCTCTCATAAAGGTGATTTGCTTTCGATGCCTCAATGCTGTAAAATACCGATGGTTTGCCATTTAAGTTTTATTCTTAGTTTACTGATTTACAGAGCCGACTTTCAAGAACTGATATTGCATTTACTATTGGTGAGATCTTCGACATGACTACAAGAGTTTTTGTTATTGTAAGTAAACAATCATTAGATGATGCCGATTTTATTATATCTTGACAAATTTTCATTACAATTAACAGTATTTGATCGAAAATGCAACCTTGATAATGATGTTCACCATAAACGTTAAATGAAACACGAGTAAGTGCAAAATAACTTCAATACGTGCTCTGAAAAGAGTAATGCTTTATAATCCAACAGTTGACTCAAAGACTGATACACGGACAAGGTCGCATCTTCCAAGGGAGAACCAAATATTATAAAGAAGTCATCAAAAAACCTATCATCGGAACAAGTACTCGTAAAGCAAGGATTAATCCAGAATTGGTAGCTGAGCAAATTGCCTGACAACAAAAGACACTTATTCTTGAATATATCTCATGGAAGAAAGCAATGAAAAAGAAAGTAGAAATAATATTGATGGAAATTCTAGGGATGGAGAGGGTCGGCGTGATTCTGAAATTTAAGATAGTGTTGCTGATTCAAGTGCTGGAACAAAAGAAGAAACACCGAAAAAGTACAATGAATTATTTGATTACTTATTGCGAAGTCTGTTAGTTCTTTGATTATTAATAAATTCATTCATCGATTCAATATATTCCTCTTTGTGTATTAAAAATTCAAGAAATTGTTGCTTCTTGCAGTCAAAAATTCGCATTTGTAATGCACAAATAGTTTTTAATAAACAATAAAATTGTTTGATAATTTTTTCCATTTCTTTGACATCAATTTTTGACAATCATGGGTCAGCTGTAAAGTAACCAACAATGAGTTGAGATAGTCGGGAAATGTGAAGTTATATTCACCGAAAACTTTTTTGACTTTGAATAGTCTTGATATTCGATAGTAGATTTGAACATTTTCTCTATCGAATCGTGAAAATGTCTCCATCTGATAAGTTCTAAAGGGTGCCTAAGAAATAGTGGGAATGAATATAAATGTAAAAGTAACAGCAATATTAAAATGTTATAAAAGTTATAAAATAAAAGATTTGATTGATTTGATAACAAAAGTAGACTTAATTTCGTGAATTTAATGTGTTTAATCAGGCGATGAACTCACGAAAAGAGTCCTTTCATTGTGATTACGGTTCATTTGACCCTAACGTGATCTGGCAACACTCCAAGTCTGATGAACCTGCAAGTTAAACATTTTAATTACAATAATTTTTGTTAATAAAAGTGTAATGATGAAAAAAGAGCGAAAATCAATTTTCCATCAGGTAGAAGGGTCAAAATACTGACCACTTAGTTTTAAGGGCTGAACAAAAAGTTGCTAATAGTTCTGAGCTCAGTCTGGTGAAAGTTATAAGGTTCAAATTGTTGAAAATTTTAAACAATGGAGTATCAAGTGTTTAATAAAGATTGGTAATGATATTTATCGGTTAAGTAATCAAGCTTTCTAAAAAAACCATTTATGTTCATTCCCACTATTTCTTGGGAACCTTAATATCAATGCTGAAGCATAAGCTTCCCAGTAATGTCAATATTGACTTCAAGATCAATCGAAGATTTAAATAGCATCAGATTAGAATGATTTCGTTGTATTGTAACATCAATTTATGGATTTTATTTTAAAGCCATGGTATGTGCACAAAAAGAGATCCCAAATAATTGATCAAACTTGTAAGGGCAAACATACTTGTACTTGATCATAGATGAAAAAATAGTAAGAAAGCGTTATAATAATATCAAGACTTATTCAGATCAATCAATGGATGGTAATTTTATAAGATAAATTACGCTTCTGTTAAACGCTGCAATAAAGATGTTTGATTTCACAGACTTGAAACATTGTATTTCCACAGTCTTTACGTTTAGCGGAGCCAGAAAAATTGTGATAAAAGCAATTGAATTTGTGTTTGGACTTCGTTTAACTGATTTTGATGATGCAGATGCAATCAAAGATTTGAAGCGACTTGAATCAATTTGTGTTTCATTCAATATTTTACCAAACGGATACGCTCAAGATGAAAGTATAACTCCACCTAAATGGACTAAAACCAGATCAATCCTCTATTCTAGTCTAATGACTTTTCATATTGTTCATTTAATATTGTTGAGTACTTTTGATTTACCAGGAAAATTCGCTCTTATATTGGGAGACTTTTTTTATGGTCATCGAAGTCACAAGTATTTTTGGCCTTATTTGCTAAATCTAACTATTTTTGGTGAATTTTTAAGACATTATTGGATATATTTATACAAAACCGGTGGACCATTTTCATTTCATATGCATAACTTTGTCTTCGATAAAGGATACAAACCTGAAGCATTATTCATGAGCCAATTTTACTGTCACAAATATCGTTTCATATCTAATAGTTTAGCTAATTTGTGGATCAGGATAATTGAGATATCTGTAATAGGCATAGGTCCTGTTTTAATGATCATAGTTCAATCAACATCCTAACAACCTACAACACCTCAACAATTTATATTCACTTACTTTTGGCTCTTAATAAGTTATTTTGGGATTGTCTGCACAGTAGGAAATCTGATGTTAACTGGTGCAATAATTACCACTGATTTTTCTTATTTCTACTTTAGAGCTTGTCATGTTACGAAAACTTTGCATAACTTTGTTACTGAGAAAATATTTTTACAAAAGAACGATTTCTTGCCTTATTATGAAACAATCATTCGAGATATAATTTTATCTCTAAATGAAACAGAGTATCGAAACCATAAATGCAGAAATTGGTTTATGATTATATATCTTGGAGTATCTTTTACTGCAGATTTCGGGTTCTATTCTGCCGCTATAGTCCATATTGACCATGGATCTTTGGATATCTCTATAATGGCTATTTCTGCTTTGTCTTTATTCGTTATGGGAATTTGTACATATGTAAATGGTATCATATTGAGAATGGTAAGTTCATATCATTAGTGGAATTACCTCACCTTGTATACTTCACCTTATTCATATTAATATTACTTTTATTAGATGCTAACTTGTAGTAAAAATATTCTGGAAGTAACTCAATATTTGCCTCCAGATGTGAAATCGTTCATAAAGGTAA